TTGAAAATAGTGCCAATTAAAATGGAGTCATTCGCGGTCGGCTCCCCCTTTAATTCTTGGCCGAACGATCCCAGTTTCCCTTCCTTTACCTCCACTCTTCGTCTCGTTCGCCTCCATTCCGTCTTGGACCCTCCGGCTGCCAGGCCATCAAGTTCCAGAATTGGGAGCCCGTCATCTTCTTCTCCTTCGCCCGCAGGGACTGCGAGTCGTACGCCAACGCGCTGCTTGCGCGGAAGGAAGTGAGTACTTGGGAGTGGCTGCTTGCCCCAGGACGGGCTGGCAAACCCACGCCGTGCATGCCATGCGCACGTCATGTGCTGGTCACGGGTTTTCTTTGCACACAACTGAGCGCGCGATGCCATGCGTGTTGCATTATGATGCGACGTAGGGGTGGGGGGTCGCAGAGGCTCGAGTGACACGCTGGGGCCTAGAATTTACCACCTGCACCCGCGCCTGCACCTGCGCGGTCGCTTCCTGGGCAGCACGTGCCAGCATGTGTGCCCCTGCGTGCGTTGTGCATCGCGCTGTGCATCGCGCTCGGGGACGGCGTTTCTGCTTTTTCACGCGCGGCATTGTCAGATCCTCGTGACGTAGCTACCAGTGTACACTTGTACATTTTTGCTGTTCGTTAATCTCCTGCCAGCCAACGGCGGGGGCCACATACCGCACTCTACTACACTGCTTATGCCATTTATGCCAGTTATCATTGCGACTGTGATCTGGTGTGGGTATGGGTGTATGTGTTGCTTCGTGATTTGGTCTTTAATGTTGCGGGTACATCTCGTCGCGGCCACCAGGTCCGGGGAAAGGGGGGAGATCCGGACCGGGAGCGGGAGAAAGAGCTGCTGTTCGATTTCAACACCGAGGACGAGAAGTCGCAAGTGGAGGAGGTGCGTACAGGGCGGGTGTCAAGTTGTCGAGGCACGACAAACAGGGCCGGGGGAAGAGATGAGAGTGGGCGGCTGACCGTGGGCTGTTGAAGCGCGGGTTTCGGGTTCGACGGGCTCGTGGGAGAGGGCTCTCCGGGTTTGGGCGGGGCCTGCTTTCCGTCGCAATGCATCGGTTTTTCTCTCGCGTAGGCTTGCACACGCGCACATCCTCTCCTCCTGCTCATTGCAACCCACGAGCAACAAACCGTGAGGTGGTGATTTTTCTTTTTTTCAATGATGTTCCCACGGCACAGATTTACGACAACGCGTTGCAGTGCCTAAGCGAGGCGGACCGGCAGCTCAAGCCCATCAGCCGTATGCTGCCGCTGCTTAAACGGGGAATCGGAGTGCACCATTCGGGTTAGACAGGGCAGGGCAGGGCAGTCCGGAGGGGAGGAGGAAGCTGGGTTCGGGCTAGGCTAAGGAAGGAAACCGCATATTCTTGTCTTTTCCATTATTGTCTTGGCGTCTTTGTTTGATTATGAACCCTCCATGTCGGCTTCCCCACACGTAGATGCCCATGCCTCCCTCCATCTCCAACCCCCAACCTCCCTCGAGTTTTGCTGAACCCCCCACCCCCGGCTCCAGGTCTGCTACCCATTCTAAAGGAGCTCATAGAAATCCTCTTCCAGGAGGGGCTGCTCAAGGTGAGTGTGGGACAGCAAGGCGGGGGAGAGAGTATGGGAGTATGCACCGATGGGATATTCCTTGCCCACGTTTCACTTCGTTTGCCCCTGTCCCTGCTCCGTCTCCAAGCCCTCAAGGCATGAAATGCACACGACGCCCGTACTCTCCCTCCGTCCCTTCCACCGTTTACCCTTGGCGGCTCTCAGGGCGCGTGCCTTCGCACTCCTGTTCGAGTCATATATTACAGACTAGCGAATTAGCTGATGCCCAGGTCCGTCTTGCTCCCTTTTTCCCACAGACCCGCACACCCCTTTTCTCTCTCGTGGAATATCGCAGGTGCTGTTCACCACGGAGACCTTCGCGATGGGTCTCAACATGCCTGCCCGGTGTGTGGTATTCACCGCCATGAGGAAGTGGGACGGCGCGGAGAGCCGCTGGATCAGCTCGGGAGAGTACATCCAGGTAAGGGAGGGAGGGGTGCTCTCAAAAGGCAAGGAAGGGAAACAGGAAGAGGGGGAAGGGGAGGAAGGGAAGGAAAGATTGCCTCCCTCCCATCCCGTCCCTGACCTGACCTGACCTTTTGCTTTACCGGAGCCGTGTCAACGCCGCCCCGCGACACAGCGCTTACTCCAGCATGCAATCCCCTCCCACTACGACTGTCCACCAGATGTCGGGACGAGCTGGCCGTCGCGGTATGGACGACCGCGGTTTGGTGGTCATGATGCTGGATGCGGAGCTGGAGGAGCAGACGTGCAGGGCCATCATGCAGGTAAGCAAAGCAGGTGGCACTTAGCAGCTGCTGCTTCCACGCGCTGAGGTACGCGTCTGTGAGGCCGGTCTGGTGTGAGGTATCGCAATTTGCCACTCCTGAGTGGCAACGCAACTGAGCTTTGCAAGTTACGGGGGACTCAACGCCGGGTACTGAACATGGCAACACGTCGTGGTGGATGGGCCATGGGGGTTACGGTGTAAGACGAATGTGGATGAGTATAGGCCTCCATAAGAACTGGCGACCATAAGAACGTGGAGAGAAACACGCCTTCTCCCATCCCTTGACGCCGAAAACCTGCTTGAAACGAACAACCTCCAACGCCAACCTGCACCCCTCCCGCCTCACGCCGTGTGCCTCTCCAATCGCTGGTTCTGTCGCTGCAGTTCCATGCCCTCCCCATACCTTTACCTCCCCCATGCACGGCCCCGCTCCCGCGGCCCGCGACCCCCTCTCCCGACACTTTTCCGTATCGAACCACCTATTGCATCCCATCCCATCCCTTATCCCAATTTTCCCAGGGCAAGCCCTCCCCGCTGCTGTCCTCCTTCAAACTGACCTACTACACCATGCTCAACATGTTGCGACGCCTGGAGGGCAGTGACACGGGCACCATGGAGTACGTCATCCGCCACTCCTTCCAGCAGTTCCAACAGGAAAGCCAGCTGCCAAAGGTGTGTGCCGCGGAACGAAAGGGTTCGGAGAGGGGTGAAGGGGAAGGAAGGGTAGTCGCCGACCCAGACCACGGAAGAAAGGTTGTTCGCGAATGGACGAGTGGCTTTGTAGGAGAGCTTGGATGAGGACTTGTAGGAAGTCCGAACGCACCGGTGGAGAGTGCTGATCTGTCGGCTTTGGCCGCATGTCATATAGAGGGAGCTGGCTGGGCAGCAGAGCGACAAAGAAGCGACAAACCCGGACAGAGGGTTTCAACGGAATTATTATGGAATTTCAGGGCTGGGGTTGGAGGCCATAGAACCGCCAGGGGCTAGTTCCTTTGCTATCCTTGTTGCTGCTGCTGCTGCTGCTGCTGCTGCTGCTGCTGCTGCTGCTCCTTCTTCGATTACTGCTACGGCTATTGCGACTGCCCCGCCACGGGCATGCCTTTCCTAACCCTTCCGTAGCTGGAGCGCGAGTTGGCTGATTTGGAGGCGGAGATGGCGGCCCTGGGTCGAGAGGGCGAGGAGGCGATGGCGGCATACCAGCGCCTGCGCACCGAAATCGCGGAGGCGGGAACGCAGCTGCAGGCGCTTATCACGAAGCCAGCGCACTGCCTGACCTTCCTGCGGGCGGGCCGCCTGGTGCGAGTCAGCTCGGGGGGCGTGGACTTCGGCACGGGAGTGGTGGTATCGGTCCTGCGCCGGCCGGACGCGCCGCCGGCGACGGCGGACGGGGGCGAGGTGGGTGCATAAGGCAGCGAGGAAAGGGGAGGAGGTTGAAGTTCTGGCACGCCGCTGCGTCGTAGCTCGCCAGGCTCCGGAATTAAGTTGCTGATGCAACGGGAACGCCGCGAATGGCTCTGCCACACGCGCATATGTATTTGGGCTGGGCACCCACCCGGGGGATGGCGGCCGAGGGGGGCGGTCTCCCGTAGGAAGCCGCACGGCCCCAACCCCTCCACACACACAGATGAGCAGCTTGTCATGGAACACCGCAGATTTCTGCCTGAGCCTGGAATGGTGGTCCTGACAATATCCCTCCGTGGCTTCAGCCCCATTCAGTTATCCTTGCATGTAGCATGTAGCTGCCTCACGCTTCTCCCAAATCTTTCCCCTCTTTCTCCCCCGGCAGGATGACCGAGACGCCTACCTGGTGGACTGCATTTTGTCACTAGACGCCTCCTCGCTGCCAGGGCAAGACGGCGGTGGCAGTGGTGATAGTGGTGGTCCGCAGCCCGCGGCGCCAGGCGCGCCGGGCTCGGTGGCAGAAGTTGTTCCGGTGACGCTGTCTTGCCTGGCGCAGCTGCACAGCCTAAGAATCAGTCTGCCACCGGACTTGCGACCAGAGGAGGCACGGAGGGGCGTCATGGTCCAGGTGTGGGCGTTTAGGGGATGGGGGGGAATGCGGGTATAGCAAGGGGCAACGGAAGGCAACGGATACGGCAACGGCCACCCAAACAAGCACAAGGGCCGAACGGTGCTGCTCGCTACTGCCGTTGATCTGCAGACCATTCAGCCCCCAGTGCCGATAGGGGGTTGTAGCTTCACCCGTGGCCACAACCTTGGCAGTCCCTGCCTTCCGCCATGTTTCCGAGCACACTTATCTTTTCACCCGTGCCGACTTCTCCGAATTCAGTGATTTTTTCCTGGGTTCAGCACCTACTACAACATCCCGGTTAGGTACATGCACACTTATCTTTTGCTATTTTTGTGGTGCCCTGCAGGTGGGGGAGCTGCTGCGGCGCCACGGCGAGGCGGGGCTGCCCAGGCTGGACCCCATCGAGGACATGGATATACGCGACCCAGGGTTGTCCGAGGTATGCGTGCGCCGAGTGCATATCAGTCCCGCTGCATACATTCTCGTCATCTGTAGCGGCGTGATTGAGCCCGCTGCCTGGCTCCGGCCTACCGTACCTAGCTCTCCACCCCTATCATCTTCCTCTCTTATCCCAGCCCCCTCCCTGCGGTCACACGCGCAGCCAATGTCTTCTGGAATTCCGTGCATATCATACCTTATGTATTGCAAACTCGCATGGCTATGCTTGCCTGCCTTGTCTTTTGTTTTATCCCTCAGGTCATTGCGCGCATAGAAGCGCTGGAGGTGCAGCTGCAGCGCAATCCCGTGTTCAAGGCGGAGAAGGACGCTGCCAAGTTTGCGCCCTACTTGCGCCGCGCCGCGTTGGCGGCCCGCGCGGAGACGCTGCGTGCGGAGATGCGCACCAGCCAGTTGAGCGCGTTCAAAGAGGAGGCTGCGTGTCGAACCGCAGTCCTGCGGCGGCTGGGGCACATTGACGCGGAAGGTAGGTGGGCGGGTGGATGGGAGCTTTTTTCTGCATTTAACTGCGCTTTGTATGATTAAAGGGTTTTGTTTTGGCCTCCTCACGTCCTGCGGGTTGGTCCGGAAAGACCTTCCGGAAGCGTTGTGCATTTTGGTGCGTTTTGGGTGGGAGTGGATATTGACATGGGGTTTAGGGTATGGTCAAGAGGCAAATGTGCCATGCCGTGGATGTACAGAGGGGGTGAGGTCAATATGGCTGATAGGTAGGTGACGTGACGCAATGTGGCGTGTTATGACGTGCCATGCCGTGTTCTGCTCCATTGCAATTGGTATTCATTTCTTTGCTCCCCCTCCTCTCGGTACATCCATCCCGCAGGTGTGATGACCCTGAAGGGCCGCGCCGCATGCGAGATCGACACTGCTGACGAGCTGTTGGCTTCGGAGCTGCTTCTCAACGGCACTTTCTCCTCCCTCGAGTCGGCACAGCTGGTGGCTCTGGCGTCGTGTCTAATCCCGGTGGAGAAGTCTACTGAGGACATCAAGCTCACGGCACAGATGGCAGGGCCGCTGGCGCAGCTGCAGGTGAGTCGGTAGGCGTGTACGTTAGGCCTCCGGGTACGGGGTAGAAGGGAGTAAGTTCCCGGCATTACACTGCCGTCTCCACCTCCATGACTACTTGCACCATAATTGTGCCGTTAGCAATTTGCACGCCACATGTCGGCGGCCATTGTCCCTGTCGGCCTTACTACTCCAAAACGGCTGTTTGACCCGTGGGTCACTGTATCGCTGTGATGACCCAGGCGGCTGCTCGTCACATTGCCGAGGTGAGCCGCGAGTGCAAACTGGACTTGGACCCCGACGAGTACGTGGAGTCCTTCAAGCCGGCCCTGATGGACGTGATCTACAGTTGGAGCAAGGGGGCTACATTTGCCCAGGTGCGCGAGACCGTGACCGTCTGTACAAGGCGTGGCTGGCATTGACTTCAAGCTGTGGAACGCAACAGCCGTACGTGTCTTCGTCTAGCTGGTGGCGTGCGGCCTGCTGCCGGGTTGCATGCTGGAGCACCCAAATGCGATCAAGCTGATCCTTCCTTTCAGCCAGTTGCAATGATGCCTCGGCAGATGGTTAACTTTGGCGCCCACGGTATCGTGTCTGTCGATTTGGATGTTGGACTACGAGTTTCATTATGGACTCCCTCGTTTGGCTTGCAGGTGTGCGACATGACGGACATTTTTGAAGGGTCGTTGGTCCGAGCGACACGCCGGTTGGACGAGCTGCTGGGGCAGCTGGCTAACGCTGCTGCGGCTGTTGGAGACCACACGCTCGCTGACAAGATTCGTGAAGCCACCAACACCATCCGACGAGACATCATGTTTGCCGCGTCGCTGTACATCTGAACTGAACGCGAGTCGGACCCGAACCGTTGACGAACGTACAGAAAACGCATGGCGAGGCGCACGTACAGATTGTGCTTTCGCCATGCGCGTTGGTTCTCTTAGTTGGGGGGTGCGTGGTGGGCCTTGTATATATGGGGGCGGTGCACTGCGGGCCTGGGAGGGTGGGTGAGCAGGTGAGCAGGAGGGCTGACGGTGCTTCGTTTTAAAGTGTTTACAGGTATTCGTGCACTGAGCTGACACAACATACCCCGTGATGCACCAGGTGCTCGTTAGCCTGATGGGGAATGCGAAGGGGTTTGCGACACCTGGTATCGCCGTTGCAGAGGCTCCTGACACAAGCACACAATCGACATCTGCGTGAGTTCGTCAGTGCCCACTTGTTTTGTTGGGCTTACCGTTGGACAGGATAGCGGTTGGATGGTCTACCCCTGGACGGATCTGTGGATGGATGGTTCCAGGGGCTCGACTGACCAAGCCAGGCAAGGACCCGAGCAGGTGTTTCTGGAAATTCCACGTTCACATGCAACACCCATGCGTCAGAACAGTTCTTGCCAAGCACACAGGCAATATGCGGCAGGCAAGCCTGTATTTACGGTGGTTCGCAACTCTATTGTGTGGTTTGAACACCACACGAAGGAATGTAAAAATGGCCGAGACTGTGCTCCATATACCGATCCCGATGGCTGGGCCATATGCGCCACCGGGATGGGGTGTAAAGCTGCTGGGTTCAGGAGCACCACCCTGTCCCCAGCGAAAATGGCTGGGTCCCACCATCAACCCATCTGACTACGAAAGCTGTGCCTGGGAGGAGGGGGCCTTTCCAGTTTGCCGAGCGACAATACCGCGCCAGTGTGCAGGGCTGCAAACAATATGTGTATGGTCACAATGCCTGCGGTTGTATGTTGATGACAAAGCTGCTCCGGCCGCCTCAAAAAATCCCATTCTTGTGTGCTGCTCAAGTACTGGAAAGCAGCTAATAGCCGTGTCAGAAAGGACCGAGGTGATGGAGCGGCGTGTTTGGCGTTGGCTTGCCTGTTGCCCGCAGCAACCCTGTGTGTAGACCTGTCTTCACCGTTCCCTCAACACTGATATGGACAACAAATACATGATGCTGGGGGCCGCCGAAACATGTGACGGAGGAAGGCTCTGGAAATTCCGACGGTTCACGTACACCGGCAGAAACTTGCCGTACTTGCTGCCTTTAACGCTCCTCACTTGCCTTAGCCGCTTCGCCATTTCGTTCTTACTGGACCCCCGTTTGATTGGACTTATACAGGAGCGGCTACGGGGTAGTGGGTGTTGGCAGTAGTACTAATGTTTTGTATAACATTTCCGTACACAGGGCCTTTCGCAGGCTACACCACGGAAAAGTGGGCATGGCACCTGGGGGAATGCTTTCGAGACCACGGAGGGTAAAAGCATCCCGGGTAGTGTACTGCAGGTGCCAGATGTGCCTTTGTCGTAGTGGGTTTTTGTTCCTTGTCCTACCAGACCGCAGCTTTAGGAATCGAGCATTGGCACCTCGTATCGCCACAACCAATGGCCGATAAGTTCTCCTTAGAGGTCAGCTCCAGTGATTTCGGCCTTTGGCGCAAGCTAAGAGGACATCGACGCTGGGCTACGACTCGTCCGACGGCCTGGCCATCCAGGGTTGCATCAGCTGTACCAGCTTCATCTGAAGGATCTGTGATTTGCACATATTTCACTGCGCCTTTGCATTCCAAGGTGAGAGTTGGGGTGTTGATACTGCGCAGGCTGCCAATGGCTGACCTCCATGAGGCTGCTTATTGTGAGCTGAACCAAGTAAAAGACTCTTCAACCTTACGAGTACAAAATCTGTCTAGGGCTAATTCCGGGCACAAGGCTCGCAACCATCGCGGGCCCACAAACCATTTTAGTCATTCAGCATCATCGTGCCCAGCATCCCCATCCCGCATCCGGTGCAACTTGTTGGGAAAGTTGGCAAAGACCTTAAACCTTGCCCCCTCCCCTCCCCGCCCCGCCCAACCTCCGCTTGTCGCCAAGCCCTTCCCACCCAACTCCCGCCACTTCCCAACCAGCCCGGCCACCCGGAAAGTCCCGAGCGCGTGGAAGCGGTACTGAACCGCTTGCGGAATCAACGATGGCCTGGTCCCGCGACGTCAGCATCATCGGCGGAGCCACTGCTGTCTGCTACTGCCGCTGCTTCATCACCCTCCATTTTCTCCCCGTCGCGCCAATCTTGCAAACCTTCGTCCCTACTTAACGGTCGAGTGCGGCTGCTGGAAAGCCACCGATCCGCCACCGCGGAGGAGCTCGCGCTCGTGCACCCGCCCGCTTACGTGGAAGCAATCCAGGCGGCGTGCCGGAAGATTCAGGTGCGTCTGCAGCCCAGAGGCCGCACGACCCCCTCAGGTATACTCTAGGGCCTTTCAGAGGGTTGCTGACTTGGGCCAACATCATGGAGGTGTGCGGGCGCGTGGTGGTGACCAGAGGCAGGGCGTGATGCTCCTGCTCATAGCGGACACGAGCTTACTGCTGTTGCTAGTAGCACATGTCGTTGCGTGTTGTTACAGAAAGCCCACCTGGCTGACGGTCGTATGCCACGCGGCCGTGTCTACGTACGTGCTTGTTGGATTGGGCTCACCGTACGTACGGCCCGATGCCGCGTCCCGTACATGGCGTTACCAGGAGCCTACCCTTGTGGACGACTCGACGTACCTGACGCCAGGATCGTACGATGATTGCGCAAGGGTGAGTCTTCGAGGTCCAAGCACCTGGATCTCTTGAGTGAGAACATCACCCTCCCTCTCCCCCTCCCCCACGTGTGTGTTCCGGAGTGTTGGGTGTAACGGCGTGACGAGCAGGGGCTGTCCTCGTACTGCGGATGGCAGCGGCCTGGCGGCCGCACACAGGTGGGCCCTGTGTAGGGCCCCGCAGCCCCCGCAGGCCATTCGCGATTGTGTGTATGTGCGTGTGGGAGGAGGGCGGGAGAGGGGGCGGGGGAATCAGTGCGAGGCTCGTCCACGCGATGATGAGGTAGATTGTCGGCCAGCAGTCTGTCCGCCCGCGTCCGTGCAATTTATTCCCAACATGTGCCGGCAGGGGCTGGATCCTGCTGTTGCCCTGTCGGAGTGAACGAGGGAAGACAGCGCGTTGCTGGCCGCACCTACCTACCTTACCTACCTACCTTACCTACCTACCTACCTTGACCTGCTCCACCCTCTCGTCCGCCCTCTCCTCTTCCTTGTCTTCGTTCCCCTACCCAGACATCCCCATCCAGTTGCGCACTGCAACCCCCGACTGCCCCCACTTACCCCACTACTTTGCCCGACCCTCACCCCGGTAGAGCGTCGGCGCCGTTTTTGATGCTCTGGACGCCCTTCTCTCACCGCACAGTGGTGGTAACGATGACGATCGCAATGGCCACTACGGTTATGATTGCGGTGGCAGTGGCAGTGGTCGCGATCAGAGCAGCATTGTCTCTTCTTTAGGTTCCTCTGGGCCGTCGTCATCATCATCGTCATCATGCTTTTCCTCCTCCTTGCCTCTACGACGTCATCCTGCCAGCGCAGCATTCGCACTCGTACGACCCCCCGGCCATCACGTGCTGCCCCGGCGACCCATGGGGTTTGGGGTATTCAACACCGTGTCACTGGCTGCCTGGTATGCCCGGGAGCGGTACGGCATCGACAAGGTACATGGCACAGCGGCAGACATCGTCATGTACGTCATGGCTCTCCAACCGATGAGAGCTGCTTTCTTCTTTGTTGCATTTCCCGCTGATCGTAGTCGCTTTCTGGTGGCTGTACAGCAGTCGGTGATCGCTCTCGGCTGTACATCAGCGCAGGTCATCCTGTAGCTGATTTCCCTAAAACCATGATGAGGAGTACTCACGGCCCACAGGGTTCCGGCTTGGTCCCTAGCTCTGGGGTTTGTCTTCTCAAACACCCAAGAAGATAAAGAAGATAAGGATGTTTCTCTCGCGACGTTTTTTATTTTGAGTTTTGAAAAGTCAGTGGGCCGGCAGTGTCAGTTCCGTGGGAGGCCCACCAGCTGCGAGAACCCCCGACAGGAAGCGCATGTGCTCTCCGGAAGCAGTGAGAAGCCGCGGGAAGCCAATGGAGAGGAAAAGCGCATCGGAGTGTACCTGCGTATCCGTGTGTGTGTACGCGTCACCAACCCACCCTCTCCTTTGCTTGCTTTCCTCTGTTGTACTGCTGCCGTACCATCCGTACGAACATCACACGGTGTGGCGTCATGTGGTCGCATCACAACCGCAGATTGCGATTGTGGATTTTGATGTGCACCACGGCAACGGGACCATGGAAGTCTTTTACGACGATCCGTACACGTTGTACGTCAGCACCCACCAGGCGGGGCTGTGGCCATATACGGGTAAGGCCCACGATACGGGCACCGGTGCTGGTCGCGGCGCCACCCTCAATATTCCCCTGCCCGGTGGTTCAGGCGACCAAGCCATGCGCCTGGTAAGTAGCGACGTAAAAGGACCACACGAAGCCGGAATTGTTGGATCTGCAGCCGGTGGTGCACCTCGGTTCGTTGTGGTGTTGCTGCACCGCGCCGCGGTATCGTAACATGCATGTGCCCCAAGCTAGTAGTCAGTGCGTGGTAAGTTGTACGCGTTGCAAGGTTGGGGGTCACGGGGGTTCTCCAATGTCAGGTACCGTGGGCGGGGGACGAGGACCTGCGTGCCCCTCCCCACCCTCACCTTAGCGCCGTCCTGCTTCCGGCCCTCCTCCCGAAGTGAAAAGTTGGCCAACCAACCAACGACTAACCAACTGACCAACCAACCAGCCGGGTCCTACACTCAACCCTGCAGCGGAGGTCCTTCCATCCTTCACGCACACACGCCAAAGCGTCATCCCCCCAACCCCGTGTCCATCATCTGTATGCATGTCTACTCTCAGCGCCTGCTCCGTCGCCTCCCACCACCCCCTACCCTCTATTTCTTGGAGTCTTACCGTCTGGAGCCTTAGAGCAGCCCATCGATTTGCCTCATCCCTGATCCCCCTCCCAGGCATGGTCCCAGCTGGTTTTGCCCTCCCTGGAGTCCTTCCGGCCCCAGTTGCTGCTGGTCAGTGCGGGCTATGACGCCCACTGGAGGGACCCCCTGGCGGGGATGCAGCTGACATGCGCCACATACCACCGGTGGGAGGGGAGGGGAATGAGAGGGTGCGTGGTTGGAAGGCTGGGTTGTGTGGGCTGCAGCTTGGGGAACCGCTGTGGCTATGGAACAGAGGTCGGCCGGTGGGGACGGCGCTTTTAGACTGGGGAGGGAGGCTCCAAAGGCCTGTAGGTAGCACCCGAAGAGGGCGGTCGGCAGGCGGTTACTGTGTACAGTGGCCATAGTCGTAGCCCTGGTCTGGGCGGCGAGCCCACAGAACTGCAGCTCCGCACTAACGGGTGTTGAACACTAACCCAAAGAACACATACTCCAGGCTCAGGGATGAAACTAAGCGATGTGGGGTGTTGTGGTGATGTGCCCCGTCACTTGCCGTCAGGATGTCCTCGGAGCTGCTGGCGCTTTCACGGCGATGCTGTCCGGGAAGGTGCGGTTCGGTTTGTGTGCGTGTGGGGGGCGGGGCGGGGCGGGTGCGGGGGAGAGGACGTCGATGAAGTAAGGGTGAAATGGTTGGTGGGGAGCAAGTTTGCTGTCCTCTGCCTGTTCTTGCATACTTGACGAGTTCCGATGGTTTGATGGTGTATTTCGTTGTTGTTGGTTCCCCCCGAAGTCGTGTGCAGGAAAGGTACACACGCGTGCGCATGCCATTTTGGCGACATTTTGCCAATATCTTTGCTAGTTGCCTTGTGCTAATTGACTCCAAGTAATTCAAGTAATTATGTTGACAGGCTGGCGTTCGTCCTGGAGGGTGGATACGACACTGCCAGTCTAAGTGATTCGGTAGTCGCCTCCCTGGAGGGCCTCCTGGGACTGCCCAGCACCAGCATTGAGGCACCCGCCGCAAAGGACCTGTACGACGAGCCCCTAACCAAGGTGGCCGAGGTGTTGCAGGTAGGGCAGGTGGGGTGGGGTGTTTCTCAGTTTCTTCGGTGTATTCAACCCAGTATTCAACAAACCCAAAAATTATATGTCCAATGCGATGCTCACTGGCTATGGAAAACAACGTTCTTATCCGCAGGGTAAAACGCTTGGTGGTTGGCCCTTGCATTAACGCCTGTCTGTCTGTTGCTTCGGTCCGTATGCCGGTGCAGAAGGTCCGCCAGTCGCATGGGCTCTGACGACTGCCTCTCTTTTCCTCAGAGCATCCCGCCCTCTCTGTATCTGCTGGTGGTGCGGAGCAGCAATCACGGCACGGTCTTCCCCGTCCATCTTACGGCCTTACATACCCGCCCGAAGCTAGCTGTGGGCCCGCAGTCGTCGGCCACGGGACAAGTAAATGTCTGATGTCAGGGTTGCTGTGCACTTTGGACTTCGCCCGTTTCCTACCTTTGGCGGGCGGGCTGAAGCGTAAAACACCTTTCGGCACAACTACCGTACCAACTGCGGACTATGCCAGGCGTCTAGACAAATTTAATGGAGCCGCTCTCTGTTTTAATTGGATAAACAAAGGATGCCTTCTGCACCCGTGCTTTTCTCTCCAAACCATTTATTTAATCACAAAACTCTACATTCGCCGCTTACTCGACCTTTATACAGCAACGCAAGGTCCATGGGGGATAGGGGCCAAGGAGAGGAAGCACATGGCCCATCAGAGAGCACTGCCGTACACACAGACCCAACGCATGCAGGTCGGCTTTTAGTCATCGCCCAGCTCGGTCCACAGGGCCAGCAGTCGCTGAGTGGAAGCCCCTTGCGTCCATAGTGGGATTTCATGTGGTGCTCCGAGCGGCAGCTGTAGGACAGGCCGTTATGTGCACCACGAGCGCAGGGACGTAGTAACCACCAGCCGCTATCCGAGGGTTGATGGCGAGGGCGGGGACATGAGACCGTACGCCACGGCGACGCTGCCATGCTGGTGCCCAAGCTCTTCAAGCATTCCCCTCTGGACCTCTGAACCTCGGCGGACCTGCTTGCCTGCCCATGTAGTAGTAGTTGGTATCACAGCGAGCCCCAGACCCGAAGGGAATACTCCAGGGTCGGGCCACGTGCACTGCACTGGGAACCCCTAGACGGAAACGCACACCTTGAACAGCAGCACAGCATCACCCCGAAGCTTGAGAGACCCCAGAGGAAGGGTGTCCTGGCATAAGTTTTCTTGGGCAGTCCCATAGCGCGGTGCTCCATACCGCTAGGTGCTGGGCGGCGATCGATGTTTGCGGCACTTCACCTCTCGGCGTTGGGCCGTGCAACAGCGGTTTCGGCTTATGGATTGCATCGCATCACGTGGCATTTGGAGCATGGGGGATTGCTCCCTGTCGCGGATGTTAAAGCTACGGCAGGGAAATTAATCCACCCTTTGTTCACCCTTTTGTCCTGTTGCTCCCTCCAATCCACATCTTGTTGGCGGCCCGCATCCGCGAAGGGGAGATTTAGGGCCGTCGCCACTTAGACCATTATTATTCATTTCCCCGATATGTGCACAGTCACATGGCCCACGTGCGTGTGCGTATCCATGATTGCATGTAGGTGTGTATGTGTGCTTGTGACCAATTTAACTTGTGACCATAGAGCGGTAAACGAAATATAAGTGCATAAACCAATTTGGGCCAGGGAAACATTCAGGGACGAAGAGTGATGCGTTTTATGATTGTCGCCCGGGGAGTTTTGCGCTGTCCTAGCTAGTAGCATACGTGAGCGTCCGTGAGCTGGCGCATACACCGAAGGGTTGGGAGAAGGGTCTGTCGATTTCCGCTTTAGGATGGGCCGAAACCGAAGAAGAGGCGAGAAGTTCACAGATCCCGAAATTTGCTGTAATAATTCCTTCCACCTCGAGGAGAGCGTTCACGGCCTCGAAGGCCTCGATTGTTGCTGGAAGCTGCCGGCAAGCCGCCCGCCCGCAACACTGCTACACGTCAAAGCAAAAATCTCAATCACGTGAGCTAACACGGACATCACCGCAAAATAAACCGACGTTCTGGTCGCATAATCCCTTCGCAGGGATAGTTATGATACTTGCAGGATAATTACGATACTTGGAAATGCGTCCGCACTATCTTTTCTACCGATACATCACCGTAATGGCATTACTGCAGAGTGAACCGCCAAGTGATACGCACGTGGCACCAACCAACTGTCTAAGGGTCGCTTATGGCCAATCCAGACTGTATTACTAAGACAGCTCAAGCATCTAAAACTACGAAGCTCTCACGTTATCACCTTTTAAAAATCATCATACAAATAAATAAAAATAGTATACTATAAGAACCACGCATGTGCGACAAGTCTTCCTGTTTTGATACGTCAGCTTCATACGAACGCAATTACGCAATGTACGCCCAGGACCTCGCAGCTAATAGCAAAAAAGTATTATCTGATAGATCCGTGCAAGCTATCTTTAGGGCAGGTCTGCTGGTTTCTGACCACAATAGGGCATTGCAGGAAGGCGAGTGCGGGGAGGCATGCTAGTCTTTGCCCAGGGACGCACAGTGTTTACATAATCATATTGAATTTTGTAACGTTGCTTGTCGATACCTTCCGCGGCCGTGCGATCCTAATTTTGGCATTGGTCAGTCCAGACCCAGCCCACCATCTTCTCTTCACGAAGCATACAACATTACAATTGAAGGTATACATCGTGAGCTGTGTCGTTGTGCCAAACTTACACTCGCGCGTGCCAGTCCGCCGGAGCCTTTGACCGAATGGCCAAGACGGCAGCCCCTCCACACGCGGACGGTGCTCCCGCCCCAGCGGAAGCAATTCCATTCGTGTCGAATCAGGATTCAGTATTGGCGGAAGCAGAGCGTGCTCTAGACGCGTCACGCCTTCCTGGAAACGCCTCCCTGGACATCCGGAACAGCTCCGAAAACAGCTGCTCTGCCCGCCGTGGCCCACCAACGCTTTATAAGTCCGACCTACGTAACTCCGAGCTGCGCCCCAACGCTTGCGGTGCACCGGCACAGACATCGCCGTTACCTTCTTCCACCCGCCGGGCAGCAAAGCCACTAGGTGGGTAAGCGACGCGATGTGACCCTGTAACACTCGACTACCGTTTTAGCGCGCCCGATAGGACCTTTCCCGGCTTCGCTCCAACCCGTGACCCTTGCCGCACACGTAACTCATTACTACTTGACAGTTCACGAGGTGAGGCGAGAGCAGATGATTTCGGCCCAGCATCTTGCCGCCGACCCCACTGCTCGTGTTGTCACAGCTCCCGCTGGGACACGCTGCAGGTATCCCTTTCCTCCCCAGGCCGCGGCAAAAGCCTCTTGCCAAATAAGTTATTCGTTTACGTGGTCGCGCAACGCAACCCAGCTCAACCCAGTCTACTTCTTCTTCGTCTACACCGTTTCCCCCCCTCACGCAGATCCGGCCTCGTGTGGCAACAAGGCCGCCCCGCGCCACAGCCTACCGCTGGGTACCTGCCAGGGAGCCAGTAACCCCCAGCACGTTCCGGAAGGGGTATCGGAGAGCTGGGGAAGGTGCTGCTCCGCCGTGCCGCCCCGGTGCGCCGGCCGACCTTGTCGCCGAGGGCCCGGCATCGGCGGCTGGCCGCTGCACCTGCTCGATCAAATTAACAAAGCGACGGCGGCTGGGGGCCCAGCAGGGACGGGACCTGCGGCAGCCGTCAAGCCGACGGTTCCCGGCTGGGAACAGTTTTCTGCAGGGCTGGGCAGTGTCGCCGCGCCCGTCACTGAAGACGACAGCCAGTACGCGATGGTAATGCTGTTAGAAGAGCCTATCATGAATCCCGTGCTACTCGAAATTCTTCGTGAGCTGCGCGTCATGCGTGCTGAACAGTTGTTGGCGGAGGCGACTGCAACGATGACGACCCTGACGGTGGCGGAAACCGCGGCGGCGGCGGCGGCGGCGATGGCAGGGGGATCTCAATGTTGTCAATCCCACTTGCACAATTCGGAACAGCAGCAACAACAGCGGAGGGCGGCTGCGGCAACGGCAGCGGTCGCAGCAGTAGCGCCCACAAGAGGGCCACAAGACGGCCGCTCCGACGGCGGTGGAGGCAAAGGCCAGCCTTATATCTACGCCCCCGGTCAGACTGACGCTTGTGGCGAGTTGGTAAACCATGCGGAAGATCCGCACAGTGAGGATGGGCAAGCGGGTGAAAAGAAGGGCAAGAAAGGCCCCCGGGGGCCGGCCCGCCAAAGTCATGCACGTGCGGGAAGAAAGCGCAATTGATGTGGCTTTGGTTTTGATGGTACAGGTCGGGGGCCTGGTTTGAGGGTCTTGCGCCATGTCCTGCTGTAGATTGCTTTGTTCATGGGTGGTCATGGATGGTGTCACTGGGAATCTAGGATGGATGGCAGATTTATTGCTATTGTTGCTGGTAATGAAAGGACAGACCGGACGGATATGTCGGGTGGAGGTTGCGGTTTTGGGTGTATCCCCTCTCTGTCCGGGCTCCTTGGTTTTCGATGGAGATCATTTGGTACCTGCTTAGCATTACTTAAGGGTTTATGAACCGATCGCATGATGTGCTGGTGATGTTGGAGCTGATTGTGCACCATCGAGCATCCGAAACGCCAATTCTTGGTCCGTTGTGCACATTATTTTTGTTGATGATGATAGAAGTGGCGCTGGTGTCGCGATGCGCGGCGAACCGGGCTCTTTTTTTATGTGGTAGCATTTTAAGAGAGCAATGCCCTGCAGCATGCAAATCTTACTGCGGGCCCTATGCATCAATACATGCACCGCACCAAACTGAGCTTGTGTCCCTTGTGTCCGTTGTTTTTTATCGTCGTCCTATGTATGTCGTCGTTAATGTTCTAGTCGCAGTAAACATCATGGAAAAGAGTTTAACACTTTCGTACTGAGCAAAATGTTCTTGTCTGTTATGTTATCGCCATGAGGTCCCGCATTTAGGGCCTTTTGCAACGGCGTTGTATGTACTGGCTCCCTTATATTTTTCGTTGTGGTTGGTAGGGTTTGCTAGTTGGATAGCCAGGAATAGCCGTACAACGCAAGCGCCGACTGCTCCCCGTTTTGAAGTGACAAGTATTAGAGTTTTCGGCAATCATGTTTGTGGTGTTTATGGCTAATATTTTTGCTTATCTCATGGTGTTATGCGCACATCTCGGAGGCTCCTGTTGTCACTTGCCGCGTGGCGGAAATAGATGAACTTGATACTCCAGATCGAAGTTTAATAAAGGCTGCGGCAGGGAGCTGAAGAGGACTGAGGACACGAATGGCGACTTGGGGATGGATATACCAACGAAAGGAACTCGGAGCGATGAACTGCTAGTTTATGTCGCCTACCTAGGCGGAGTTCAAGGGCCGCCGACTGCATGTGCTGCTCGCGGCTGCTGGTTAAACAATAATCCTTTCGCTGGGGCCATGAAGGGTGGTGTCTTGATTGTAGTGGACCAGCGGTACCGCGGGGGTTATACAACCTGAATCCTTGCTGGCTGGAAGACAAAGTCGAACAAACGCTGCTTTTTGAAGCACCGGGTCAACACAGTTGGAGACTTCCTTTAAAAATGTAACCATGTGTAAATGTAACTTGAAATTAAGTACAGTGCAGCCGTGCAGTTGCCTTTCTTGGCAACGGCTATTTAAGGCGTAGCTGGTACGTTGATACAGCGATGACCACGGGCCTTTCCTGGCCCCAAGATCAATCATATCTTGCGGCATCTTGTCCATGTCCCATAGCATCTACCTCCGCCGAATGCCTCCACAGACTGTCCGATTCCGGTGGTAATAGTGGCCCAACTGTCATGTCCTGCTGATCTGCGTTGGGCTGCCAGTCCGACCTTGCAGGGTACCGAAGTACCTCGCCAGGGCAATGATCGGGGACTGCAGCTCCCCTTCCGCTCTAACTGCACTCCGCCCTCCTGCCCCACCGACACCCTGCGAGCTACGGCCCCTTCCGAAATAATGTCCAATCCTATTCCTCTCCCTCGCTTGGCCTTTGTGCACCCAGCTATCTGCACCCGCCATCATACCCTTTTCTTTTGTAAGGTCGCTGCAAACGGTAGGGCCTCAACGCCCACCTCCTTTGCGGTGAGACATGGAAAAGCTTTGGTGGATGAGGGTACAGGACGCCTCTCCTCAGAAGCCCCAGGGAGCGTGTATCCAGCTGCGTCTACGGGGTTGCATGGGCGGATGCGGGTTGACGAGCCGGGTATCAAGAGTAAACTTTGCTAATGTTCATTGCTATCCGTATTGTCAAGCCAAGATCTGAAGTGCGTGAACGCGCCGTGTTTAAGGCATTGTGAGAAGAGAATCCACTTAAGTGGGAAGGAAATGCACTTAAGCTTCGCGATGGGGAGGCTTTCAGTTAACTTATCAAGCGGGAACTTCCCAACACGCGTATATAGGTATAACACATCGTGGATAGCCCGCTTGGAGCTGTAATGGAATAGGTGTGCTTTTCAGCAAGGCTATGGCTTCGGTGCCGCAGGGGTTCGCATGAACATTGCGTGACTTCAGGCATCTTGATTACACAACCTCGTAAAGTACTGAAACGTTGCAATGCACGGCTCCCCATAAACTTTCTATCTAAAGTTTATGTCTTCATCCTTGACACTGGTGGTGAGTCCGTGCAAAAAATAGTGAATACCAAAAGTGTGATGCCAGTTAGTGGTGGGTGTTGCCCTTGGACGTGGCAGCTACAGATGCCCAGGCTAGCCATTGAGGTTCCTTGTGTTCATTAAAATCGCTTTGTTCATAGCGGCGATGGGCTTGAAGGCTTCCGGCAGAGCTGGCGGAAGGTCTGGGGTTTCGTGGTGGAGGGCCATTGAGCGAAGAGCCCGTCTTTCCAGACGCTCGGAAGGTCACAAAAGAAATAAGACACACACAGACAGCAAAAAACGCTGAAAACTGCCACTGTCGTGATGTCCGTATCGGCACAGGGAAGTCGCTTGGCTGGAAAGCGCTTTTGGGACAGAAGCGCCTAAGTGACAGACCCTTTTTTTAAGGATACCCTAGGCGCGTCTTAACTACCTCTGATATGTCAGCATTATACGAGTGCCAGAGATGCCGAAGATGCCGTAACAGAATTCTGTAGCCATTGATGAATCACTGCATAAAATGTCACTTCACTGGGGTTTGAGTGCGGATACAAGAGAGCCCTACGTAACAAGGTGGCTCACAACGTACGACATGCAAACTTTGGTGACAAAGTTTGGTTGCCCACGTCATAGTAAAAAAATAGGCAAATACAGAACAACTAGTCATATCTAATAAGGCCTTTTCATAGCAGTAGCTGTCTTGCCAAGCTTAAGCAACTGCACACCATTTCCGCGGCTTGCAGCCGATTAGGCAGCTATCAGTCTGGGGCCTGATAAGCCCCGGAGTCTTGCACCTGTTGCCATGCGTCAGTAGAGCACGTGCGGAAAACGGCAATACAGTCCATTTATGGGAAACATTAACAGCTGTACCTCAAAGGGGGCGCTTCTGTTGGTCGCTGCGGCAAATGGAGATCTGGGAATGGCACAGGAGGTGCGTCAGCAGGTGTGCCAAAGGAAACTGGGGCACCAAGCTGACGGGTTGCCGAAATGGTCCTGCTGGGTCCCCAGCTGCTGTCCAAGCACCCCAAGGCGGCTTCCTACTACAACTTCAAAGACAGGAGCTCACCTTTGCTCCAAGCGGCTGGTGAGCTTTTGTCGCTGTCTATTATCGGGTACCCTATTGGGTTATTTGTCTTATTTGGCAGGGATGCCATGGAGCTGCCCTTTCCTGTACATCACAATTTTATATGCACATCTTTGCAGCGCGAGGCCACTTCGAGCTGGTTCAGCTTATCTTGGAAACAGCGGTCATGACCGAGGGCCCGGAGCGTGCAAAGAAAAACTGCATCGATCATGCTAATTCCAAAAGGCAGACAGCCCTGATGGTCGCATGCAAACACGGGTGGGTGATTTATCGGCTCAACGGCCTCCTTGAAACAACTTGCTTTGCTAACCTCCTTTTCCTTACCAGGCATCCCGACTGCGTCGAGTATTTGGTATCAAACGGGGGAGACCCGCTTCTGACCGACGAGAGGCGGCACAACACCTGTCTGCACTTTGCCGCGCTGTACGGGCACAGCGAATGTGTGCACAAGCTCCTGGGCAGTCGTGCCGCTTATCGAGTCCAGGCAAGGCCCATGAGCGACGCACCCTTTGGTTCCGTTCACTGTGAATGTGTATGAAACGCACTCCGCGTGTTGGATGGTTCATTCCCTCAGGGCCGTCAGGTGCCGATAGCGCAGATCCCCTGCATAGACGACGGCTCGACCGTGAAGTTCATCGACCGCCACAATGGCTGGGGCCTCAGCGCCTTGCACATCGCGGTCTTCCAGGGTAGCGTGAGCACGGGTGAGTGCATATGCAGCCGCGCGCCTCGTTGGGATGCTGCGCCTTGCCCGGTACCAACGGGATATGACAACGTTGCGCGTTACGCTGCGCTACGACCCAATCCATGCGTATTCAGCTGATGACAGCCGTAGGCTAATCTGCATCAGACTATGCGCAGCTTCCCCCTCACCCGAACCTGGGGCGTGATAATCAGCCGTGGATCCGAGGAGGATGTGTCCTTAGCGTGCACTCCTCACCTGTCATCATCCCCCCTTCCGCTTCCTTCGCAGTTCGGGCGTTGCTCCGCCACGGCGCCGACGTGGAGTCGGTCATTTGCGCGTCGAAGGTGGAGAACAGCCCCATTCGGTGCGCGGTTGGCTCAAACGCCCTCCACATTGCCGCCTTGACCGGCAACATAATTATGGCGAAGCTGATTCTGGAAACACAGGTGATTGCAAGGCTGGGGGTGGAAATAAAGCATAGGCCGTGTGCGCGTGCAGGCGAAGCAGGCTTTTATGGAGATTCACGATGATCAGGTTGCCAATTAGTTGGGCCGACTCACCCTGGGTGACATCGCGCGAACCTGCATGCATGAAACGATTCCACTCGGGCTCCGCTCTGCAGGCTGCCTGTCTAGCCGCCTGGGTTTTCCTTGCCAGTCGTACCGTGGAGTGACGTTCATCTTGCTTCCTCCCCTTGGCTCCATTCCTGCAGGAGAGCTACCCCGGCTTGGAGCTGCGCAGCCGCACAAATGCGGCGGGCCTCAAGCCACACGACTACGCACAGTCTGCTCGGAACCCGGTGCTCATGCACTTGCTGGATGAGCGGCTCCCTGTCACGCTATTGCGGCAGATTTGGATGAACTACTCCCTCGAGCAGAGCTTGCCGCCTCGGCACCAGACGCTAGGTGAGTTTTCAGGCTCGGAGTCGAGCGAAAGTGGCTGAAGTTGACGTGCGCGGCGGCCCACGTCACGCTAGACTTTTGGACTTTCGGCTCGCGCTAGGCCTTTGGAGGAGCGCCTGGATGCATCGGACGGGTTCGGCCTTCACTCCTTTTCACAGCTGTGGAAGTTGTGTTGGATCGTGGCGGGCGGCAGATCTGCGTCTGTTTTGTCTAGGCCAGCGGGCCTGAAAGCTGATGCGAGTAGTGATACTGTGTGCGTTTTAGGTTTTGCTGCGCGTTTGATCACCCGAGCTCTTCATAAGCCCAATTGAGCTTCTGTTCTGTGTCTGCTTTACTTTCGGGAAAGGTTAGTGCGCTTTGATTGCAGCTTTGGGAGGGGGCATTTCTGCTGCTATCTGACATATCGACCTCGCTCACCTCTTGCTCCATACACGCCTCCTACGAGGCCGTTAGCATGCATCCAAAGCCATGATGGCTTCTTGTTGATTTATGAGCTTGACGCAATCCCCACTTGCGCTGTGGGTTTCCCCCCGCTTTGGTCTGGCCCTGTCCAGGTTCCATGCTGCAGAAACTGAAGCTCATGTTTAACCTCGAGTTGATTGCAATTCAGCGCAACGTGACCCACTTGCAAGCACAGCATGATGCAGCCCAGCAGCAGCAACTGCTGCAGGGGGGTGCTAATACGAATGAGCAGCACCGCCAGGGCGCTGGTCAGCAAGCACAGTCGCAGCAGCCGGGTTCGGAACCAATGGATGTGTCGACGCGTGCGGCTGTAGCGCCAACACCAACGATATTTACCTTTGGCGGGGCCGCGGGCGCCCTTGCGGCCATTTCCTCGAAGCACCGCGGCGGTATGGAACCCGCAAACGTTCGGCTACTGTGGGCTCGGCGTCAAGACGAGATTACGCAATTACTGACGACTGTAACGCAGCTGCACGATAACCTGAAGGCCCTTTGCCGCAGGGACGAGCCGTTGGCAGGAGAGGCCACTGAGGTAGGCTTAGCTTGGGTGTGACTGCATGCAACGGGAGATGGTGGAAAACATTCATCCTACTGAGATTTTATTTCTCTAAATGAAGTGATACGTAGCCAGCGGTTTCATAGGCGCCATACTGCCAACAAGGATTACAGACTTAACAGAAAGCCATTTACGGTACTTGGCGCCTCGCATCCTGCTTCCGCTGAACCCTCGCTTGCGACCTGGTGCTACAGACTGTTGGAGGCCTGAGTCGGGGCGACCGCGCTGCAACGTATGAGGCCGTGTTGGACTTCATCCTATCCACTCTTATAACGCCGCGGACCGTGTCTGCGATTTTACACGCGGCAAAGAAGCTTGTGTCGGCATCGGTCACCGGGACGGCGGCCTTGACCGCGGGGGGAGCGCCCCTGGAGCTTCCCCCCGGTGACTCGGACTCCCAGCATGGGCTGGCGTTGCTGAGCACAGCGTTGCGCGCGGTGGAGACGTGCCTACAGGTGCGGGTTAAGGAGGGGCATTGTGGAAGGAGGCACAGACAGGGCATACGACTGGAGCATGCCTGGGCTAGCAGTGGTTTTGGGTAATGTTGTAAACTTTACTCGATGTCCTCCTGTTCACCGCCCTGATTGCCGTCATCTTTAGCAGGGTCTTGAGCGTGTGGCATATTGCTGTTTCGTCGGTTCTCCAGATCGGCCGAAGTGCATCAACCCGTTGCTGAGGCTGTTACATCTGTGTGCTGAGCGTCGCTTCGCAAGCCGCCTTTAAGCTTGCACTCCATCCAGATATCTGTCTGGGTTTGTATTATAATCTAAGCCCTCCTATTCACCCCTTCTCTGTGCTGCATAGGCGGCCGTCTACCTAACGAGCCCCGCAGCCCTGGAGGAACAAATGGGCGCTGTCAACAACCGTCTGGGCCTTTCGCCCACCGCCGCCGGCGCAGCGAGCAATGCCAACGCAGTTTCTGACCCCGTCGTATCTGCAACTGCGGTCACATCGGGGGTCGCGTCTCCAGGCGAGGCCTTGGCCAGTGCCGAGGCCGAGGCCCCAGGTGGTACACCCCGTGCGGCAGCGGCGCGCAGCGAGGCGGACAGCGTTGCCAACGGCCAGGCTTCGGCGGCGCTCGTGTCGGATCAGGTTGTGGAGCCCCACGGCCAGGCGGCAGGGGCGGCGGTTACTGGGTCCCAGGGCTCCCCACGTACCGCTGTGTTGACCAGCAGTCCCCTGGCGTTGACCGGTTCCAGCCTGGGTTTCCCACAGGCCGCAGTGCGTGGCATGGGCGACGGCGCCGCCGTACCTCCCGCCTTTGCAACACATTGGTCGGCCCATCTGCACACACTCATTGCGCAGCTTCAGTGGGACATTGGTGTGCAGCGCCACCGTCGGCGGCGCGCGCACGCTGCCGCGGCTGCAGCACGTAGCGCGGCCGCGGCCGCGGCCGTGGCTGTCGTTGCATCGTCCACGCCATTGGCGACTGGTGGCAACAGTAGTACCGCTGGCAACGCCACCGCCAATAGTGCCGCCGCGGTCGGTGCAACGACCAACGGTGTGCCGCAAGTCACCACGGCTTTCCCATCTCTTGCCATGGGCATGGGTGCTTGCCCGTTAGGTGCGGGGGCTACTATACAGGACGTGCACAACAGCCCTACCGGTGACCCTGCCGGTGGGAACAGTACAGCTGCTGCTGCTGCTGCTGCTGCTGCCGGCGGTAGCGACGCTGCCGGCCCGGAGGTCGTCGCAGCCCCGGCATCCACTGTCAACCTGCTGCGTGTGTTGAATTCGCGGCGGGGCGACGCAGTGCAGGACATTGTGACGTCCCAGAACGGTGGCGCAACTGTCTTGCCGGCCCTTGCACAGTCGCGCAGCGACTCGGGCATCTCGATGCCCGTGGCGGAGGCACCCGCAGCCGCCACCACTACTACCACCACCGCATCGCCTGTTGCAGCTGTTGACGTGGCCAGTCGCGCCGCGTTGGAAGGTACAGTCGCCGTGGCAGCGGATGATGGCGAACTGCTCACTGGGCCACCGCCGATCCAAACCGGCGAGATTATTCCGCTGGTTTCTGGTGCGCTGCCGCTTAGCCGCGGCGCCACCATGTCTCCAACGGATGGTGCAGCAGCTGCCACTGAAGACCACTTGTCCACGGCCGGTACCACAGTTCCGCCACAGGACAACGCACCCGCTGCCGCCACGAACAACAACACGACTACAGTGCAGCGCGGCGGCGCGAAGGAACGTTCTGGGAAGGACCGCGAGGGTGCTGGTGGCGGTGCCGCTGGTGATGGCGGCCTGGATGGTCAGGACGACTCGCCGGCGGCTTCGGAGAGCGGGTCGGATTGGTCAGATGACGATCGCAATGTCTGCTCCATTTGCATGGATCTGCCCGTTGCTGTGCTGGTGGCGGGCTGTCAGCATGGGCTATGCGTGCAGTGCGCTTTTCAGCTATGCGTCAAGGGCCGCGAGTTGCCATCGTGCCCTTTCTGTCGGCAGAAGATTGGCGGTTTCGAGGCCAAGGAGGCGGCTGCAAGCCCGGCCGCGGCGGCGGCAGTGGGAGCGGCCGGCTCGCCGGCGGCCGCGCCGTCGCTGCCTGCACCGGCGGTGCTGGCACCGGCGGCTATCACAGCTCCATCTCCAACTGTGGTGGTGCAGTGAAGGTCCGGCGCCACCTGTGTGCGACTACTGCCTCCCCAAGATCCGGTGCGCGTCTGTTTCCCCGCGTTTACTGAGGAAGTTGAAACCCGACACAGCATGGTAGCACTGGAACCTGAAGCTCGCTTGATTACACATGGAGCGCTGAGAGGTTTTGCCATAACAGACTCCGTTCTCCTAGTAGTCACTGTCTTTACTTACTGCCAAAGAACATTCAGTTCACCTCTCATTTGGAGGTGGGACCCGAATGTTTTGGATGGGCAGGGGTTGCGGCTCATTATTGTCGTGTCCTCGAAGGTCGAGTCCCTACGGGAGGCGACTAACAGGGTGCCATCTCAGGAATATTTAATGTCCAGTTACAGAACCCGCTGTGTTGTCCTCCAACGATTGAAGGTTGGCACATCCACACAACACAGGTGACGGCTGGCAGTAGACTGCGAATGACACCAATGGCGCTTTATAAAGTTATCAAAGGTCTAGATTGGCGGATAGGGGCTAACGCACGCTCACTTGCTGGCAGCAGAGACGTGGGTGACCATTGCCACTCGCCAGGATTGCAGACTGTGGCACGGTCCAGCGCGGGCGTTGGGGCGGCGGATGCAGGTTTCAATGGATCGCCAATCGCTATCGAGTCGAGTGACGTTTGTGCATTGCTCGGGCAGACGTGGTGGGCTCATGGAGGGTGGCAGGGGCGAAGTGGTTTTGAAGACCCTGTTTAGAATACGGTGCGCTTCAGGTGCTTAGGGGCACGTGATGTCTTCCTCGAGGCCTCAGTTGGGCGTTGAAAGAGGGTGGCGGTCTAGACGGCCTGAAGCACCGTGGTGGTCTTGATGGCTGGGGCGGTAGGATCTGGAGCATAGCTTGGACTTGCTTGTCTCTTACCTGGTTTCGACTGTGAACGGGAAAGGACAATTAACATGTTGATGTTTCATCTCGTTGCATTCTGCAGTTTTTCCGGCTGTGCACCGGACGGGGCTTTTAACAGTCGCCGACCGCATCGGTTGTCCAGCCGCCGCGCGGGTTTTGGTTGGAGTCGACAACGAGGGGGCATGTATTGTGGGCCAGTGGCAGGGGTTCGGGCTTGGGCCCGTGGTCCGGAACTCTGGGTCTCGATTACGCACGTTGTGGAGATACGAGCTGTGATTCATAGTACGTGCATCAGCAAGAGCATCATCATAGTGTGTAGGCAGTTCAAATAGACCTGCGACGAGATGCAACATGGGAAGGGCAACTGTGGTTGGCGGTCGGATTAGGCGGCGCAGCGGTTGCCAGCCGTCACGGAATTTATATTTAACCAACGCGTGTAAACAGGCCTTGTGATGTGCGCAGGAGGTGAAGGCGTCATGCTGTGGTGGTTAACCTTTACACACACACTTTGCTTTCGGGTTCCTCATGTCTTTGCGCCTCTCCTGGCAAGAGGTATACGTACATGTAGTTTTTAATGGAGTTGCTTTTGCTTCGACGTGGTGCTTGGTTTACCGATATTCAGCCGCGACGCGTTGTATTGTGCATGCATAAGCCATCTTGGACAAGGTGCACGGAATACCTCGCGAAAATGCGCGGGTGGTCCCGGGCGGGTTCCCCAGCGGGCAGACCGCCGTTTAACTTGCTGGCACGCGGCGGTCGCGTGAGCATGGGATTGCTGCATGGGAAACGCGTCAGGTGCCCCAGGTTCGGGGCCGCCCTGCAGTCTCCAGCAGTCCGTCGTCGTGCACAATGTGCGTGCATGTGTAGGGCATCTCTGCGCTGCACCGCAACTTTAGCGGCTATATTGTTTGGCTGTGCACGTGTGCGTCTGTCTCCCGATGTACTACCATCAAACGCTGGGGTAATTTTGTGGCGCTCTCACTGACTGGAAGGCGGGCCTTCCGCCGTGGAGCATAATGATTTGCGCTTATCTGTCCTGTAATAACATGCTAGGTGATGTGCGGGCATTGTCGGCCGGAGACTGAATGGTGCCGGAGTTTGGGACACGGCTTAGTAAGATTGGACTGGGCAGTGCTGGGCGGGGCTGATGTCCTATGGCGTGGTGTCTGCTTCAAGGCGGAGGACTTGTTGCGTGCGGTGCTGTGGGCGGTAGTAGCTGTGATAAGGCAGGCCAGGTTCTAGGTATTTGCTGTAGGACTGGCCATCGATGCCGTTGCGAGGAAGTTTTTACGTAGCTTGGATGGCCTGGGACCCCTTCGGGGGGATTGCAGGCTTGTTAGGGCCTGGCGCGTACAGAGGGTGGCGGCCGGTCGCCCCGCAACTCCAAAGAGTGTGTATGCGTGTCCTTTGTAAAAAATGTAAAGCACGAAATTATTTTGGGGTTGAGGAGCTGGTGAGGAGCTGGTGATCTGCAGGTGTGCGCTGAAGGTCCCTTGGAGCGAAGCTAACAAGTGTTCCAAAGGCATTTCGAAAGGAGGCTTACATCACAGGGCTGCGGGCACTGGCGAAGAACAGAGTTAACTAGCTTGGCAAATGACAGTCAGCGGGCATGCTCACGACAAGGGTATAAAGCAGCTTCGGTACGTTGCTGTAGCAGGCACCGTCTCCTGAAGTAACAAAAATGGGAAAACTTAATGCAGCCCGTAACGTAGGCGAGAATGTTATTTCTTACCTGGGCATGTTTGCAATATAAAAAGCGCCATGGTTAATTATACGCTCACAAGTTTACTCGCTAAGAAATTAATGCTCGCTGATGTCGGCTTTGCAGGATGAAGTATCAGGAGCATTGCAAAAGTAGTGTCACCTGAAAGATGGTTTGCCAGGTTTTCGTGGATCGTCCAAGGACGCGCATATTCGACATGCATTCCGCCTAAAGCGCCCCAACCCGCCGTTTCTTCGTACAACGTTACGCCCACCAGCCATAACTTAAGTACACAATGGTGAACTGGAGATCCAATCACCTGCAGGCCGGTCATCAAACAGTGTCAACAGTTTATAGGAGGTGGTCATCAAAGCTTCGCTGTTTACTGCTGTCCCGATACGGGGACCTTGACCCTTTGGCGCAATCTATGACCGTACCTCGCGCGTCTGTGGGGCCTTAATCCGTACTTATGTCTGCAGTCGTAACCGGCCTCCAGTTGGCCCGAACCAAGCTTCGTCCTCTGTCGTTCACCAGAATGAGGTGCAGGGCGGGGCCCCGCCATGGCGTGGCTAAGGGGAGGCCCTCAGGTATATTGCATCGTGTGATCAGGGCCAGCTCAGGACGAAGGCCTTCCCTCGTCCTCCCCGCTGCATCTGTGTCAGATGCTGGCATCTCGGTCTCTATGCGCGATGTCGCGCGATACGGCCGTGAACCTCATGCTTTTACAATCTAGCGCAAAGGGCGGGGCAACAGTTTAGCTGGGGCGTATTTGTCTCTCCATACCAACTTTCTTCGTGTCTTGTGCGGAGCCTATAGGTTAAATAAAGCTGGCGCGGTGCCGTCCAAGCAGCGTTTTGCAACATGAACTATAATGTGCACTTTTCCAGGGTGTCACCAGAGATGGACGGGCTGTTTGAGCAGGTAGAAGGCCTACTGTGCGGTGAGTTCCCCGCTATTGAAGCGTTTTGACCTCGGCACACCGCCGTACGGCCACTCCAGCTGACGCCATGGAGAACCTCATCAGCACGATCCACGAAACGTGCATCCAGCGGCGGCTCCTGACGTGGAAAGTGGCTTTGACACATGAACTCGTCGGCTTTGCGACCTTCGTATTTAGATAGACATACCGGATGCCAAAGTCCTTCCACACGCGGGCGCCAAAACGCCCGCCACGCGTCGACACTCGGGACTCATGTTGAAGCAGAAAGCAAACGATGTTCAAGCTTGAGTCAGGCTAGATGCGTAGACTTGGGGTTCGAACGTTTCTCCGCTCCCACAAACAAACTTAGTGACTTCCTTCTCTTGCGCAGTAATTCAACATATTGATTGTCAAACTTAATCAACCGACACGTTCTCCCTGCAAATGCTACGAGCTCTCCTAGAGTTGAAGTTGTAGGGACTCCCGTTCTCGCGACTGTAGAAAACCTATCGTGTAGACAATCATTTGCTAGAACTAGCCTCAGAAGCGGCACTTATAGATGCATTACACATACTCATCTTCCCAAGGGCACTGCGTGACGTGGAAGCTGATTGCACCTAACCGGTTCACATTCGCACCAAGCAAGGTCAATAACCTGACGTAGCATATCACATGCGAAAACACATCTCATCCGTCGTGCACCTATCGTTGGGACTGTGTACTCCGAAACATTACGACAGACAACTATACATGATAAAATGCACACGGCTGTAAGGAACATTAGGCACCTTTGCATCCATAGATAAAATCATGCTTACATGCGTCATAAGCGTAATGCCATGCACGATGCCGCGCAAGCAGTTCTCATCTCCATCTCTCCAACGAACCCGCGGACTGAACGACGTCTGTTAGTGTTATTGAAGCCAATAGCAGCAGCGTCCTCATAATTTTGCGCCAAAGGAATCAGCCACGTGCGGGGCCCCAAGATACAGGCATCCATAGTGTCGTACATAGGGTCTTTTTCTGTCGGTTTGCCTTCTCCTCATGTAACCTTTCTCATGTATTCACGTCTGAGACGAAATACAGGTTGCTACCAGGCGTCATAGGCAGGAGCTTGATATGCGAATGTTTCTCTGTAACTGGGGATGTTCCGGTGTATTGGGCAGATGTGTCCTAAGCTCTGTGGCGCACTTAAAGAATACTTTGTTTAGGACATGGTATGTATACTGCCTACTGTCTTGAGAGGAAACAGTTTCAGCTATCATCACTGTTTGCGCAGCGAGTTCCCCTTTGGCGTCGCCCCATAAAGCAAGGTGACAAGTGTGTATCGCTGGTAAGATGTCATATTGTTAATCTTACGGCAAGGCACGGTGACCGTGTGTCAAGGGTTCGCGCCTTCTGCAACTTCCCCGCAAGGAGCGTCGCTGCATCTTTGCACAACGATAGGGCTTAAAGTCATGCTGCCTTTATGTACACCACTCTTTGAAGGCTCAGCTTTGTTGATTCGCTGCTGCAGGGCCGTGCCCGCCAAATTCATACGAGTTCCTCCAGGGCGATTACGTTTTTGTTTAGCAGGCCCTCGGCCTCATGTGTGCTGTTCAAGACGCACTGGCTCAGTCGGAGGGTTTGAGTCCGGAACAGTCGGAGATGGCGGTCTCCGTTATTGCCGTGTGTCGGCATTCAGAAAAGCTATTAAGGGCAAACGAAGTACTGTCAATAGTTGTGACATCAGGGGCTCTTACGCGGCCTCCAGCAGATGAAGTTGGATCCGTTTCGGAGGCGCAGAAGCAGCCGCGGCCATGCCGCGACCAAGCCCAAGCCCAAGCCTCCAGTGCACGGGATTTCAGCAAGTGCGCTACAGAGGAGGCCTTAGGCATGGATTGCCGAGGCCACGGGCCCTGCAGCCGCACGAGTTCCTCAGACGGGTCCTCGGAGCCGCGAGCAAATACGTCAGTGACGCCATCTAGCGCAACGAGCGCCGCACTTGCCTGCAGCGGCGCAATCACCTTGTCCAAAACGGGCACGACAATTCTCCGCCCGGCTCTGTACAACCCGAATGGCGCACTTCGCCCACGAAGCGGTGCGCCCGTCGCAGCACCAGCTGCCCCTGCAGCATCGAAGGGAAGCGAGCAGCAACAGCAGCAGCAGCAGCAGCAGCAACAACAACAACAGGTCCAGCAACAGCAAGACGGCAAGGTGACGCCAGATTGCGCCGCACCGCCGTCTGGCCCTGCAGCTCCTCCAACAGCCTCGTCCTTGTCGTCCTCTTCCTGCGCTAATGCCGGGTCCGCTTCGATTAATGCTATCGCTGCCGCGTCTGCTGCCACTAACGCCAGTACCAAACCGGACATTTCTGTCCTCGCCTCCGCGGTGGCGGCCTCTAAACTCGGTCTAGTTGACCAACTGAGCCAGGCGCTCACCAGCTGCGCTGCTGTGGCGTTTGCAAAGTAGGGAGGGCAACGATTATTGGGCGGGCATGGGAAGGCTAGGCAAGGCGAAAGGTGGGGTATTCAGGGACGTAATAACCGCAGACAAGAGGTGAAGAGTGGTACACAGGTTGGGCTTTTGGGTTGAGAATAACTATTGTGCTAGCTGGTTGCGCTCCTCTGAAGGTGTTTGTATGTAAGTTATGAAATGTGCGGGCCTTAAAGTGTGCCGTGCCGTGTCATGTTGTATCATATTGTGTGCCGGTCGGTAGAAGGGGAGTCGGACTGGTTGCCGAGCGTGAAGATTTGTCCGATCGGTCGGCATCAACAAGGCAGACCGACAAGCAAACATACAGACAAATAGTGCGGAGGCCGTAAAGACGGAGTGCGGCAAGCCTTGCTGTGGACCCGACTGAGCCAGGGGGCATTGGGTTGAAGGAACAGGTCGGCTTTCGGAGGGGCGGTTGAAGAGCGGGGTTACGGGCTGGTTTGATGTCCTGTTGACGTGGAAGAGGAGATTGGGCTAGTGCTGGGGACTTCATCCTCCTTCCCCGCGGCATCTCCCCCTTCCGTCACCCCTATACCCAAACCACGGCGCCATTACTGTATTCCTTCTTCCCCTTCAATTACACACATAATCCCCCATTCTCCTCATTCTCCTCTGTGTGGTTGAGTCTGAGTTCTTTGCTTTTTCCATCGTGCGATTCCCTTCTGCTCCTGCGCTTCCCTCTGTTGAAGGGACGCCGAGGACCGCACCTGTCTGCACTACGCTGCCGGCTACGGTCATGAGGAGTGTGTATCTCTGCTGTTAGAGCACCGCAGCGATACCCGGGTGCGGGACGCCAATGGAGATGTACCCCTCCATTTTGCAGCCATACACGGCCACCCGATGTGCGCTTACAACATTACCAAGGTGGGAACCTGGGGAGGAGGGAAGGGGGCTTGGGAGGATAGAACGCGGGAACGACCATCCTCATCACCGCAACTGCTGCCTCAGGCTAGAACGTCCTCCATATCCACCATCCTGCTTTACCCGTGTGTCTCTATGTGTGTTGCATGTCCTCCCATACTCAGGCCTGTCCCTCAACTTGCCTAGCTCGCAATTATCGGGGTCAGACTCCCGTGGAGGTGGCGGTGGCGTGTGAGAGAGGGGAGGTGCTCAACGCCATGCTGCTGGCGTGTGCGGGCGACGGGAGCGCGGGGATCACGGTGCAGGTAGGCACCGCGGAGGGACTGGGGAAAGCGGGGTAGAGAGAAGCGGTGTGTGAAAGGTAATGTCAGTGGATAGACCTAGAAACTGGATTTTATACGCGCTGGGTTGGGTTTGCGGGAGGGGGAAGGCTAGGGGAGTTTGCGGGCTTCGGCGTGATTTGGGATTTGCCTATGTAGTAGGGTGCTGTGTGTGCACATGTCGAATTTGCGTGGAAGTTAGAGAGTGATAAATAGGCACAATTGCACCTCACGTATAACCCGTAATGGTTGGGGGGAGACTTATGGGCTAATCCGTTCTCGTCTGTGCTTGCCTGCTGACGTGCATGCCTGCTGTTCCTGCCTTCCCTTCGCCTTCCACCTCTTCTCGTTTCCTTCCTCCGTTAATTTGAGCTCACCCTTCTTTGCCTAAGTTCCCCTTTCTGACACCTTTCCCCCATCCTTCGCATCTTTTCTAGGCCATGCGTAAGCTTCTGGCCAGCGGTGCCGTACCCGACACGTGGGCCCCCAACGGCAGTTCAGCGCTAATGCTAGCCGCCGCCGCCAACGGTACGGAAGCCATGACTGTACTGCTGGAGGCGGGTGCCACCCTGGAGCTTCAGGACGCACTGGGACGCTCCGCCCTCATGTTTGCAGCCGGTAACTGCGCCAAAGACACACTGGTGGCGCTGCTGGATGCGGGTACGGCAGGAAAGACGGTTCGTTGTTGGTTGCCAGTTAGCTGATGATAGTAATGGCTTTTGACGAACATGATATAGTGATGGTAACCGGTAATTTTAGTCATATTTGTTGCTTGGGCCTGTCCCGGACCAGGCTTTGCAGGGCTGCCACCAGCATTGCGGAGCCCCGTGCATTTCGCGGTTATCTGTGCGCCATGTATGATCCTCTCCGTGCTTGTCCACAAGATTCATCCCTGCCCATCGACCCATCCTAGGCGCCTGCATCTCCCAACGAGACCGCCGGGGACGCAATGTGCTGGACTATGCCCCCGCGGGTAGCGAGGTGCGCCGCCTGCTGCAGGTAGGTCGCTCTGGGTGGGTGGACAGGGGGCCCAGGTACGGGTAAGGACATGATTAAAAAAGAAACCTTACAATCATACACCAGCACCATTTCGACAGGACAACACCCACCATCGCTGTGGATGGACGGACGGACAGACTGACAAGCGAATTGGTAATAGGCCCGACTCCAGCTTAACATGCAGGCGGTTGTCCTCGGCATATATAGCCCGTATTTACCTGGGCCCACGTTCCGTTCATAAATCCAAAGCCACCATGTCATGTTGGCTCGTATCGTACTCGTGAGTTTTGCCGTACGCTGCGATTTACGCCGTACAGGCGCGCTTGGACGAGCTGGAGGCAGTCGCTAACAAGCTGCAGGCGGACTTGTTGGCGAGTTTGGGTTCAGAGCTGGAGGCCGCTGCGGGTGGAAGCTTGGGCAGTGGCATGGAAGTCAAGCCCGCGCTCAGCGGTGGCGGCGGCGGCAAGGTGCGGCGGAGTGGGGAAGGGGAAATGTGTTATGCTGCTAGCTAGCTGCGAGATTGTGGACATGGTCACGGATATTCCGTCACGGACATTCCATCACGGACATGGTCACGGACGTTCCCCTAAGGCCGCGGATCCGCGTGAAAGCCTCGACTCAACGGGGTGGGGGGACACGTTCTAAATGCTGTTTGGGGTCTTTGGTGCCTAGCAGGGACGGGTGGGCGGGCGACGGATGTTGGGTCGAGCATGTCTTGTACTCTTACCCGGTACTGACTAGCCATCGTGGCACAGCTGCGCTGCGCCCGTAAATGTACCCAAAGTATAGGGGCGCTGCAAGTGGCACTGCTGCCGTAATATAAGTTGCGTTAATTCTTTCTTTGGGATGCTGCTACTTGACTAATGACGCCGCCACTGCTGCTGCTGCTACACCTGCCAGCAGAAGAAGAAGCAGCAATCAGCCGGGAGGAAGGGCAGCACGGCCGCGGCTACCAACGGTACCCCGAAAGCGTCACCCGGTGCTGCTCCCACTGACGGCATCGGCGCGGCCCAGCCCACGGGTAGCAGCGCCGCAGCTGGTGTAGGAGCGATGGCAGCGGTGAAGGCCAAGTCGGCGCAGCCCATGGCCGCTGGGCCTGCGCAGCCAGCCTCAGAAAGCGCGATCGAATCTGACGGCACCGTGAGCGCGGGTGCCGACTCAGAAGGGACCCAAGGAGTCCAGCCCTCAGCGGCGCCGCCGGCGGCAGCCACGGATGCTACATTCACAACGGCGGCAACGGTGCCGACGGCGTCAACGTCAAAGGCCTCAGCCAACGGAGCTCAGGAAACGGCGGAGGGGAAACGTGGTTCAGCTGCGTCATCATCCACCAGTGCTCAGTCGCCCCAGGCCCAGCGGCAGCCGGACCACGGCGGTTGTAACGGCGGTGACGATCATGGCGATGACAGTGAGTGGCAGACCGTCTCTTCATACAAATGTGCGACTAAGGCCCGCCAGCAGCAGCAGTACCAGCAACAGCAGCACTATGAGAACGAAGCGCTGCGGGGAGCAGCCGGCCCCGGCACTGGATTCGCCGCCATGTTATCGTGTTCCTCAGGTTCGGGGACGTCTGCGACGGCGGCGGCAGGAGCATGGGGGGGCGGCGGCGGCCGTCAAGGCCGCGGGGTTTCCACCGCCTTGGCAGCAGGTCGAGGTGCCGCGGCTTCTGGAAGGCCGACCCAACCACAAGGCTCCGTGCGAGGGCATCTGGCGCAGGCGAACAGCGGAGGCGGCGCCGCCACTACCGTTGTGGTCGCGGCGTCTAGTTCAACGCAATCCAAGGGCTCTCCTGCCTCTGTCGGGCACTGCAATGGCAGCGCCACGGGCCAGAATGGGCCGACACCTGTTCGAAGAGCACAGCCGTCACCGCCACTGCCGTCAAACATCGCGGTGGCGGCAACGGCAACGGCCGCTCCAGTGGCTCCAATGCCTGGTTTTAAAGCGGCTCTGCTGGGGTTGGAAACCGGCGCTGTCGCCTCTGCTGCCGCCGCTGTGACGGGTTCTTCCGTACTGGGAAGCGCGCCGATGGCTGCCACCGCCGCCTCTGCCGCCAGCAAAGCCGCTGACGTGCATCTTGACCTGCCGCCGATTGCTGTGCAAAATGTGGCAGCTCGCGTCTTGACTCTGCCGCGGCCTCCGCCCACACCGGCGTCCACATCAGGCTCGGGCGTGACCACAGTTTGCCCTTCGGCAATGACAGCGGTGACGACGTCTTCGGCGTCTACGGAACGGAAGCCAGCCTGGGGGGCAGTGAAGCTGGGAGTACAGCTTGCCGCCGTGACATCTGTCGGCGGTTGCAGCCCACGGTCGTACCCCCCGCTGAGCGCGGCCACCGCTAATGCTGATAGCAGCAATAGCAGCAGCGGCAATGGTACCGAAGCTCCTCAGGTGCAGGCGCTTGCCGCAAAAGCAAAAACCGTCATTGCGCAGGCCGGGGCATCTGCTGCCTTTGCTGGGTCAGGTCCTTGGCAGCCTCTTGTCTCAGCGCTTGCCACCGCTGTGCCGCAGTTGCCGGCGGCTCCGCCTCCCACGCCGGCGGCGGCGGCACCAGCGGCGGAGGCGGCGAACCCTCTGGCGCCGCCATCCTGCGTGGAGACGTGCAGCGCCGCGGCGGTATCCATGGCGCCCTCCATGGCATCACTCGCCGAGTCGGAGATTTCTTCCACCGGTTTGAGCACTTGCAGCAGCCACCGCCCATGCGGCGGCGCCTCGCCGCGGTCATTTGGCCATGACTGGACGCGACCTAGCCCCGTAGATGTACTGCTGCAGGCGGCCATTGCTGCCGCCAGTGGCGGCGGAAACTGTGGCCGCCAGACAGGCGACGGCGGCAAGCGCCTTGGACATAGTAAATGCAGCAGCGCAGCGAGCAGCAGCTGTCTGTCCTTTGACATTGCCGCGGGTGCCGCCGCCGGGTTGCCACCGACGCCGTGCGATTTGGCGCCGCCGCAGCAGCTCCAGCCAACCCAGCAGCAGTCGGAGACGCCATGCCTGGGGGTCAGCCACCTAGGGGGAACGGAAGTCCCGCCACCCATACGGCGTGCCAGAGGTGAGGCTACGGCGACAGCACAGGCAGAGGGAATTTCGCTGGTAGCGGGGATAGCCCTGCCGCCGCAGCCGGTAGCGTCCTCGGGGGCACCGTTATCGTCACCGTCGATGGCGGTGGGCAGTCCTGGAAGGACCTCAGGCGACCTCGCAGCCGCTCATGCTGGTCAGCGTTCTGGTTGTATGTCTGGCGGCGGCGGCTGTGGTAGTGGTGGCTCTGCCGCCGCTGCCAACGGCGGCGGGTACCGCAGCGGTAGTAAGGCCGCTGCTGCCGCTGCCGCTGGCGGTAGCTTTCCCGCGGCTTCCGAGGTGGCGAGGCTGAAGGCGGATAATGAGGTCCTACAGCGTCGCCTCCGTCAGGTGGGTGTTTTGGTGGGCCGGCTGGTGAGACGAAGGCGAGGCTGTGTTCGTGTTGGACAATCCGGGCGGGGAAGGACATAGAAAAAAGGACAACAGGTCATGGTGCTTCTGGTGCCACCAGCGCTTGCTTTCACCTCTAATTGCCTTGCCGTCTGTTACATTTATTATGTTCGCGACTGCCTCTGCGGCGATTCCTGTTGTCGCAGATGGAACAACGTCATAGCCAGGAGCTCGCAGCCGTCTTTTTCGACGCGGAAGCACATGAGGCGGCGGTGGTTGAGAGAGCTATTGCGCAGGAGAGGCTCCGGTGAGTAAGGAAGATCGGCTTGCTCGGCTCGTCTATTCGTAATTTTATGCTACATTTTGGAGCTTCAGAAGGTAGAAGGGTATATCTAGCATAGGTGAAACGCAACCCTAAATCTCATGATTCCCCGCTGACGTCCCGATTCCTTGGAACCTGCTTAAGAAAATTGACATGTCTGGGATTGAATGCTTGTTGTTGTCTCGCCCAGGATCACGGCCAACCTGCTTGCCATTGGCCTGTGTCCGGAGGCCATCCTTGCCGTCATCACGCCCCCGGGACACGGACTGGACCTGCAGCAGCTCCTTGCTGCCGAACTCAGCGGCACCGCTGCCGCCGGGCTCACGGTGCCTCCATCAAAACAGCAGCAGCAGCCGGTGCAGGGACCGCAGCAGCGGCAGGTAGCGGCTGCGGCCATTTCCCTGCCCGCTACCCTGGATGTGATGTCGCCGACAGCGACACCGGCGCCTGCAGCTTCCTCGGCCTCTGCTACGACCAGGTCGTTGCCGTTGGTGCCGTCCTCGTCGATGGCGGCGGTGATTGCCTCGGGGGGCATGGCGTCTTTGCCGTCGTCCTCGTCCGTTGCTACCGCCGGTACGGACCCTACTGGGAGCTGCCGTACTTCAGGTTCAGGCGTAGCTCCCGCCGCCGCCGGTGCTGGCTGCAGCGGCTGCAGCAGCAGCGTCCCCCGCTCGCATCACTCGTCCTGCGAGTCTGGGTCTTGTGTGCAGTTTGCTGGCAGCGGTTGCTACGCGGAGGAGGGCGGCGGCGGCACAGGGGTCGCCTGCACAGGTAGCAGCTGCGCCGCCACCGCAGGGGTGGCCTGCCCTTCTGTGGCCGGTGACTGCGGCGGCGGCGGCTGTTCCACCGCACCCGCCAGGCCGTCTCTTCCGGTCTCCGCCGCAATTGCCATTCCGGGGGTGGGCAACGGCAGCCTGGGCTTCCCGTCGGCGGCAGCAGCTTCCGCCGCGGCGGCGCGCTCAGAGTCCTATCGGGCTGTGGGTCTTGACGGCTTTGGCAGCCCTGGCGGCGTGGGGTCGGGGTGCTTCGGGGGCATCCGGGGCAGTTTGGGTTCGGGTTGCGGTTTGGTGGGCAGCCTTAGCGTGGGTCTGGGTCTGGGCCTGCTGCCGAGCATGAGTGCAAGTATGGGTGTGGGCGAGGCCAGCGGTTGCGGCCTGACTGCAACGCTGGCAGCAGAGGCAGGGCCGGTTGCCGACGGCGAGGAGCAGGAGGACGGTGAGATGGACCTCCCAGCTTGCGGCGACATCTCGGCGCTGTTGGCCATGTCAGACGATGACATGTAAGTGGGCGCAGGCGCTTAAGAGATCACACATGTACACGGCGTGCTGCGCGGTGTAGGTTGCTAGGCCTGAGCCCCTGATGCCTGTTTTCATCTCCGGCGCTGCGGCGGCACTCTTCTTCTTCCTTCATCCTGAGGGACCTGCCGCATCAGGGGTGGCCGCCTCTTTCAGCTGGCGCGGTCACGATGCGGAAGTCTTGAGGCCACGGCGAATGCGGATGCGAGTGTGACCGCCGGGCCTTCTGGAACCGGGGTCCCCTGTATAGATTTGGTTTCTGAGGCAGCTGAGGGGGCGCGCTGCGGTGCAGTGCGGTCTATCCGCGTAGTACAACAGACATGCTCTCGTTGTGCTGTGCTGCTCCTCCTGTATGTCTTTCATTTGTAATTACATGTGTACAGTGATGGCTAGGAAGTACGGTGGCCAGGAGGCAAGGCATAACCCTGTTCACACTGGGGGGGAAATGAGGAGTACGCAGGAGGGCGGAAGGCCTCCCACAACCAGAAGCCCTCCGGGAGCGAGACAGCGGTGGTGGCGACGGCGCCGGCGGCTAGTAGTTGTCGGGCGGGCAGCAGTGCCGTCGCTGCCACCTCAAGCCTCCAAAGGATTGCCGCAATTAGGTCACAGGCAGGGCGGGGGACTCTTTCCCTCTGTTTCATATCAGGGCTCATCACCGGCCCGCGTCAGTGTGTGGGTGAGATTTTAGCAAGAGCAGAGCGGTTCCCTCCCCTCGCCACGGGTTGAACGGGGCTCGGTCCGTTCCGCAGCAGTTTTGGAGGCCTTGGTCGTGTATTCGTACATTCGTTTTCCGCCTTTCATCGCATCTTGTTTGCTTTTGTTTCATGTGCTGCTGCCCACGTGTGCCCCATGCCCGTCCGTGTGCATTGCGTTGTTGCCAGAGTGAATTCGTGTGTACACGTGTTTTTAGCGTTAGGTTATATTGTTGTGCTGTATTGGGGAGATCGGAGATGTTGTAAGCGCCACGGAGGTGGATGCGCGGCGTGGCGTGGTGCGCATGTGCACTTTCACGTCTACGCATGTATGTATGTATGTATGTGCATGTGCGCGTTTGTGGGCGCCTGTGCGTGTTCTTATTCGTGTATGCTATCGCCTGTTGTGTCATGTTGGTTTCTTTCATCACCTGACAGCTGTTCAGTCAGCGCTCTCCACTGCACTTGATGCCGCTTCCCTTCTTGCAGCACCAGTAGCAGCAGCTGCTGCCTCGATGCTACTGGCCCACTACGAAGTACGCGGGGGTTCTTGGTTCGGCTCTCGTACTTAGGTTTCCGAAGCCGTCGCAGCGCGGCCACGTGGCTACCTTCCGCGCTGGTCGGGGATGTTGGCTAGGCTAGGCTACCTCTGGCCGGACACGGGCATGTCCGTCGCCTACGCCTATGTCACCCTGGGACATTGCTGCCATGCTTTTAACAGCTGCAGTCACCGCAGCAATGGCCGTGCTGTTGAAAGCGGGAGCGGGAGCGAGCCACTTAAATCGAATGCTGTTGCTGTGGAAGGTGATAGCCGCGCTTACGTTTTCTTTTCTAGTTTCGTGGCGCGTTGGGTTATGGACATCCGGGGCTTGACGGTAATGGTTGTGTGGGATCTGCCTGGATTACATAGTTCATCGGTTTGGGGGTTTTGAAGCAAAATCGCAGGGGCGGTGGCCGCAGGCCTTGTGCACTTGGCCTGTGGAAGTTCCGAGCAGATGCATCGTCGCCCGGCGTGCCGGCTTGTTTTATTTTGTACGGCGATGTTGTATGGCAGTAGTTTGTTGTGGTTTTGTGTGGACTGCTATGTGTCCTTATTGGTGTCCTCACTCTGCTCCCATCAGCGACCCAATTGTGATTGCTGCCGGTGCCAGAAAGCCCCTGAAACGGATGCTCAACGAGTTGGTGGTTCCGGAGCTTTGCCTCCAAGACGGGCATTGAGCAGTTTTCTTAAGAGGGCCTCGCCATATTGCGCGGCGTATTCATTCTACGCGAGGAGGGAAGGGAGACGAGGGATGGTAAAGGCGGATGAAATTGGAAGGGCCGTACAACGAGAGAGTAAGGGTCGCGCGGCGGGGGTCGGTGATTGCGTCCCAACACTCCCGACACCCATCCAGGTGTGAGCAGGAGGGAGGATAGTTGAAGAGGAAGGTGCATCGGCAAAGTACGAGAGCTAAGGATATACTGATCAAACAGGCGGCGTAATTGTTAAGGAGCCGCTTGGAGGCGAGATATCGGGGGCCCCTTTTGTGAGGAGGGGTGGTGTCGAATGGCGCGAGACAAATTGGTGTCACGCATGTACATGCTTTTGTAAGGGCCGTTCACTCGGCCGGGCTTTGGAGAGTTTACGCCGAAGATTTTCTTTTGGGTCCATTGGCGTGTGGAGCCCCATTTAGGTTGATTTTGCGCCGTTAGTTTTCGTTGTTACGATGATGTGGTCAGGTGATGATGATTTGGCAACAGGTGGTGGCTTGTGGAAGAGAGCGTATTCGCATGCTAATTACAATGTTGCGTGCACTTTCGGGTGTAGTGCGCTTCGCAGCCATCGACATCGTCGTTGCGAACCTCGGCCGCCCGCGTCGTCACCCTGCTGTTGTGTTCACTGTACATCTTAGCTGTCCCCGAATTGGTAGTGTGCTACTCATCGACGTCATCTTGCCGAAGGGTGCATCCGTGGTGTATGTTAGGTTGTTGTGCGCGATATCCCTACCCGTTGGACCCACCAGCATCGTTGGCGCCGTACTTTGTTGTGCACTGCGTAATTTACATCGGCACATCGCGGGGAATGTTCCGCCTGTGGTTGCGGTGGTGGTGGTCACGGGTGTGAGGTCTGTCATGGCAGGGCATGGAGCTCAGTTGGCATGCACGGAGGGTGGGGAGGGTGTTGGATGCAGCTCCAGTCGTCTTTTTTTGCTGACGGTGTCAGCATCCATTGGCAGTGCTGGTGTGTGGACGCTGTGGTGGCACGACCCGGCGGCCTCTCCTAAACCATTTGTATGTCTTTTTGCGTTTATGTTGATGTGTAATTTGTGTGTACGTTTATTACATTGAGTACGTGTTTATTGTATGTGCCTGTCCCGTTCTTGGGACGCGTCGCGCGCCTTCAGCTGCGGACATTGGGCAGCGAGGTGCTGGCTGGTTGGCAAGAGGACGGATGGTGATCGTAGTGCTGGTTCTAATTCATGACCGCAGTGTTGTGCCATCCGCAGAAACGTGCAAGATGCGGGGCTATCCGGCACATCCGAAACACAGAAACGTTGCCCGGAATGGTGAGGATTGAGATGAAAAGACGTTGTCCATAATTGATGCGGCCCGCCCGTGCATTTTCTGGGCGCCTCGTGCAAGGTTGTGCTGACCATTTGAAGGAGTGCCAGATATTTAGGGAGATGTGTTTTCTTTAATCGCGGCGTCTAGTACTATCTTGTGGAGGGGCTGCAGCAGGCGATGACGGCGATGGCCAGGACCGTAGCAGGGATACGTTTATCCTGTCTAGCCTCTAGCCTAGCCTCTAGCCTGGCCTTGCTGTAGATGGCAAAAGTGTTTTGAATTAAGAATTTTGTTTCAGTGGGAATTGGTACGGCAGTGGCGCGCACATTTCATTTGAGGTGAGATCGAAGGGGATATGGATCTGTGGCGGCTGAGGGTGGCGATCCGGAAACACATTTGCTACCTAGAGAGGAGAGAGGCGCCGGCATTTTCACGCACTGACGTGCTGCTGCTTCCCCGAACTGTCCGACATGCCACGGCGATCACTTACATGGCCAACCTATGTAAGACGCTTACAAACGCATGTGCCAGCCGCAGCTAGGTCAATGAACGGCGAGTTGGATGTTAGAAGATGCAGATTGTAAGGCGCGAAGCGAGTCGGGAGAAAGGCGATACAAGGTGGTGTTGGCACAAGCCGCAAGTGAGAATCGAGACCAAAGCAACTGCAACCAAAGCAATTGCGCCGTCGAGCCGCACGAAAATGGGTTATGAAACCCCCATTTACAGGTGGTCCCCGTGGATCCGGCACACAGGGGTACCAGGTAGAAGCGAGCCCGTCGCGAGGATATGGCGGGGCCCGCTAGCATCAACACCCACGACAAATAGATGAATGGAAGCTAACTGAGTATAACTCATTTAGACATGTCTGCAGTAACGCCATGTTAGCCCATCACTGTATACCCGTGCCGAAGCGGGCGGTATCGTACGGCAGTTCATGCAGTACCATGGATGAAAAATAGGCGTGCAGCATAACCTTCGAGGTTTTTCCTGTGCAGGAGGAGAACGAGAGATATCATATGACTTTACCACACATGTGGACGCCCGATAACGCAACTCGAGCTGATCCCTTCCCTGTCCTAAACAAACAAACAGCAACAACAAGAGAACGAACACCTCGCCTAGGCCGCAACTGGCGTAGGTCCTACCAAGGTAAAAAAAAAGTCCCACTGTACTGGTGCTACGAAACTGTTGTCTTTGGTGCTGTGCACGTCACCGCAATGGCCCGTCGTAGACGCCGCCCGTACAAAATGCTTCGTTCGTTTCTCGGTGCGCGTCTCGTTGCGGTACGTCAAGATAAACACACAAGATATCGCCGCATCCCCGGGACAACCTTCCCGACCACTACGGATTACCCCGGGTCAGTCCAGACACGGGGGTTCCCCGACCAACGCATCCCTCCCGCCCCTGCCTCTGACCTCAGTGCAGCCCCGCCCCAAATCACCACGCGCACCAGATCCCAACAGCACTAAGCCCAACGGCCACACACGGCCCCTCCTGCTTCCGGCCTCATTACGTACCAAATATACATACCTCATACGTACCCAATACCTCATACGGCACCACCTTCCCCGCTAGTACGATAGAAGTCCCTTTTCCTGGCCCTTTTACCTTGCATGCCTCCGCCCTGCATGCCACTGCCAACGCGCTTAAAGTCATTCATCATCGTCATCAAGCAGCTCAATGGGCTCATGCTTCGACCCACTGCCAAGCGGCGGCGCAGTCCCCGGCTGCGGCTCCTCACCCGCTGCTGTGCCACGACGGTGCCTCCGGACCTTGTCCGAATTCCTCTTGTTAGGTGCTGCCGCTGCAGCCCTCGACCCGGGCATAGCGGAGGTCCCACCACCCGGATTACCTTCAGTGAGGGAGCCCTTCTTCGCCCGACTAGTCTTCTTCCCTTCGGCCTTCCGCTTTGAGCGAGGTGAAGGCGGGAGAGGAGTACCTCCATCAGGAGGGGCGGCGCCGCTGTCGCCTGCAGCGGCAGCGGACGCCACAAGCGGGGCACTGGCAGTAGTGTAGCCGGATCCAGCGCCGCTGTCGCCACGAGGCGCAAGAGGAGGATCGTGACCCCGTGGCTGCTGCTGCCGAGCTGCAGCCTCCGTGCCGGCTTCCGCAGGCGTCGACGGAGCGGGGCCGCTCGAGGGGCGCCGTGATGCCGGTGTCGGTGGCCGCCGTTGCCGCTTAGATGGCGTGTCACCGCCCTGCGTCGTGCGGTTGTCATCCAGCCTGCACAGGCCGATTGAGCAGCGACACACGCTCGGCAGACAGGTTGGACACCGGTAAAGGCAGCCAAGGCAGGCAAAGGTCTCACCAGTGCAGGAATTAGGCAAGATGATGACCGAGGCAAGGAAATGACGACCGCAAAATACCTACCTAGGTCGCTTCCCTTCCCTCGGCGTTGCGCCCGCGCGTTCCTGGCTCTGCCCTCCACAATGATTTTGGCCAGTGTGGTGCTGCTGCTGTTGCTGTTGTTGTGGTGGTGGTTGCGGTGGTTGCGAAGGTCGCGGATGTTGCGGGTGTTGCTGAGGTTGTGAGGCGCCGGCGGAAGGGGCCGGCTGCTGTGCAGGCTGCTGGTTCCCCTTCCGCCCCGATCCCAAAAAGGTGGCTGGCAGCGGTGGCGCTGCCCCTGGGGACGCCTCCGACGCCGGCCGAGGAACCGCACTCGTACCCGCACCCGCACCCGCATCCGGCAGCGGTGCAGGTGCTGGGGCTTCAGCGACAGGTCGACCTTGCACCGGCGTGTACGTGGGCAAACGAATTGCACGCCGTTCCTGCTGTGCGCCCACAACTTGTGGCTGCACCCTGGGCTGCGCCTGTGGCTGCGGCTGCAGATGTGCAGGCGCAGGTACACCCGGCGACGCCGCACCACCAAAGCTCTGCGCGCGGCGGAACTCCTTCACTGCGGCCGCCGCAGCTGCTGCAATTGCTGCTGGCTTCGTAGCGGACCTGGACCCAGATCCCGATTTGGGGTTATGGCTAGCCGGGGGCATGGGCCTGGAAAGCCCAGTACGCCCTGCGAGCTGCATGACCGACGACAGGAGGCCCCTTGCGTACTGGGTGAGGTTGGGGGCCGCTGACTCGGCCGCAGGCCTCACAGATAGCCCCTCCAAGGAACCCCACGACGGCGCAGCCGCTGCTGTTGCTGCTGGCGCACCCCCGGTACGTCTGGTGTCGGCGATGCCTATAAGGCGTTCCTCTGGCAACACGGCTGGCAGCTGCCGGCCTGCGTGCCCGGCTTCGGCCGCGCGTATCGCTGCCGCTGTGCCGTGCCCCTCGGAGGGAGCCCCTGTCGCCGCCGGTGTTGGTGGACGCAAACGTGGTCCTGTGCCCCTACTTGGGCCTGCTTGTGGCGTTGCTGTGGCTGCCGCCGGCACGGTTCCGGGTTTCCTCGAACCGGGGCCTGGCTCCGGCAGGACTTGATGGGATTGGTGGGCATGGGCCTGGCGATGTTGTTGTTGATGCTGCGGCTGCTGCTGTCGTTGTGTTTGTTGGTGTTGTTGCTGGTAACGACCTTGCTTTCTCGCCGAATCCTCTTCGCCCGTCCAGTCCTGCAGCGCTGGGTCCGCATCGGCCATAGCACCACCACCACCCGCCGCCGCCGCGCCAGGGTTCACAGGACCGCTGCCGTTGCGCAGCTTCTCCCTCCAGCCGTTCGCCCCGTGTACCGCTGGACCGCCCGCTGCTGCCTCCACGGCGGTATTGCCTCCACCTGCGCCAGCGCCTGGCGGAACCACGTGCTCAGGTGCCATCCTCCGTAGCCGCCGCAGCCTCCGGCCTCCGTCACCCCCAACCTCTGCCTGGTACTGCTGTCGGGCTGCGCGCACATCCTCGGCCGTGAGCTCCTGTCCACGAGAAAGGAAAACGCCATGGCACGGCACAAGTGGGGGGGGATGAGGACTTATGAAACGAAGGCGGTATCACTTCTCCCAAAGTACCAACTCCAAAACCCGATTGGACACAGCAGATACCCTCGCATGTGGATTTCATGCACATGTGTCCATGAAGAATACACACGCCCGCGTGCGCTCGCGAGACGTCTCACCCCAAGTGGATCAGGAGGCAGCTTGGACTTGTGCAGGTAGGCGTTAACGAGATTAGCTTGGATTTCGGAATCCTGGGGAGAAGGGGAAAAGACGAATAAAGCTGCTGCCAAGGAAAGAGTGCTGCAGCAGATGTACATTAAGCAGAACTGACCAGTCGGCGGTTGGGAAGCAGCAGTCCTCGGGATGATGTAGTGATGACGACAGCGAAAAACCTAACCTACCTACCTAGCCGCCAAGACTAAAACAAGAGCTAGAAGGGGAGGGGGAAGCCGGGGAAGGGGATCGTTTGCTTTTTTGTTCGTTCTCTGCGTTCGTTCGTTCATTCGTTCGCTCGTTCCCACATTCGTTCGTCCAAAGCCAGCGAGTTTCTAATGTCAGGACTCTGACGACACACCGGGTTGGGTCGGGCAGGGGAGCTGCGAGAGAAAGGTAGCGCACCCCGGACATCCGGCGCACATGGAATCTCAAGAGTCCCTGTGGTAAGATCCCTCCCAGATCTCCTCCTCACCTTAGCAAGCTGTAACAGCGCAAAGTCTTTTGCGTCCACTGAGGGCCCCCCAGAGTAAGGGGCTGCCCCTGCTCCCGCTGCGGAGCTGGCGCCGGTCGCTGCTGCCAGCACCGCTGCGGCCGTGGCCGGGTCGGCCAGGTCCTCCAGACGGCGGCGGGCTGCCTCCGGGGGGAGACGTGCTGGCGCCGTGTAGGTCCACCGCTCGGTAGCGACTGCCTGGGCCTTACGCACTAGCTTCTTGTCCACCACCTACACGCGTACATGTGCGTTTGTGTGTGCATAATGCCCCAGGTCCCAAGCAGCACCAGCGGGAGAAGATGACGATGACGACAGCATGGTGATGGAAATGCGGTGAAAAGATGTTGATGACACAGAAGCAGAAATTTGACGAAGGCTCAATGGAGGGTCACCAGCGGCTTTCCATTAAGCGAACCGAAGCGATGGGGTGGAGGCGGTGGTGGAGGCGGTAGGTGCGCGGTAGCATGTCCAATCCAAACGCAGAAAGACGTTGCATTGCCACTCCTTAAAAGACGTTTTTTTGAGTGGCAGGAGGCTCATCCCATTGATCCACCGCGTGGCGCTACCTCGTCTGTATTTCCTCTATTCCATTCAGACCAGGACGGGCTATGCAAATTCGCATGGTGTAAAAACAAATGTGGTGCTCCCAACGTGTTCCATACCTGAGACACTCACACACTCACACACACACACACATAGACACACCTCAAGAACAAATACCACAGCAATTTACCTTGTTAAAGAGCTCCTCTTTATCCACATTGAGGTCGTACACCAGCTCCTCCAAGGTGGCCGCGTACAGCAACCGGTACACGAAGGTGGGTCGAGTCTGGCCGAAGCGGTAGATGCGCGCAATAGCCTGCACCGCAGAACCCGTCAATAAAACAACACGTCACATGTTCGATTCCCACAGTTGACGCGTGGTGGTGTGTCGGTATGTCTGTAGGTGGATTGTCAGATGATAGTTTTGGTTGAGATGGCAAAACTGTCTTGCCAGTCGTTGGGAGGCGGCCTTTGGCAATCCATGGTGCCTTGCTGCCCTCTGCCTTCTGGCACCTAATCCGCCTCGTTGCATGGAGGAGTCCTGTGGGTTCCCGTTGTGAACGCTTTCGCCGCGTGTATGTGTGTATGTATGTGTATGTGTTTTCGTGATCTGAGGTGCGATGAGGGAAATGCGATGAGGGAAATGGTGTGATGGTGGTACACGATTAACTTTTTACCGAAGCGAGCTCCGTCGTCCATCGACATGTTAGGATTTTCCAACGAAACGGTAAGCGTAGCTTGAATTTTCGAGGAGGTGTTGATTAGGAGAGTGATGTGAAGAGCCCGTGGAAACAAGCGGAGGCGCCGTATTAGCACGGGGCGACTAAGTGGTGCGCGGCTCGAACCGGCTACCGACAACGAGGGCACCGAAAGTCCAGATAGGTAGAACTTAAAAAGCTATTTCCTAATGTTTCCTAAGCTAGCGGACAGAGCAGAGGGTGATGCTACCACAACACTTGCGATGCGACGACAGGCAGGTTAGGTTCCCGGCCACCTCGGCCTACCTGTGCGTTGAAGACGGGGTTCCAGGGCAGGTCGAAGATGACCATACGGCAGGCCGAGGTGAGGTTGGTCCCCAGTGAACCGGCCTTGGAGGAAACCAGGATTACCTGGCCGGCAAGAGCGGGAATACCGTGCATACGGAGGTAAAGCACCAGGGGTAGGATTGAATAACAGGCCCACGGACGGCAGAGGGTCCGCAGAGGCGAGGTCAGGTAGGTTGCCCGTGTGTGCGGATGATGATGCGGGGACGAGAAGGGGGCGAGGGCACAGGGGGGGGTTTACGTGGTATACATGGAACTCGGAGGACCGCGTTCAGCCCCAGAGGTCATATGGTGCGTTAAACACACGTCCATCATAGTGCATGGTCACACGGGAATGGACGGAAGTGGACACGGGAGTACTCTAGAGAGGGCACCAAAAGGTGCGACTGGGAAAGGCGGCGAACAGGCGGGGGGCCGTCCCCCCGCGGTTGCGAGCGAGGTTGCCAAACCTTAGCAAAGGGCGACGATGAAAGCGGGGAGGGCGAGGAGGGAATGCTCTCGGCTACACAGGCCCTCTCTCGCCTCGTGGTATTCACACGCCCGGCCAACCACACCCACCCACCCATCCACACGCGCACCCACACCCACACGCGACTTTTCGCCCTTGTTAAATTTGTCGATGATTTCGTGGCGTCGCTTCGACGCCACTCCGCCGTCGATGCGGAAGAACTCGTCGTCGGGTTTGTAGTCGAAACGGTCCAGCAGGATCGCCTGCGGCAGCGCCGTCCAAGGGAAATTATGCCCATCAGCAAAAGCCAGGAAACCGAACGGATGTGGTCACGAGGCTGCCTGTAACGCACAATGTGCAGGAGTGCAAGAAGAACTTCCGGGTCCATAGGAAAGGCCGCGTGTGGGGCCACGTGGGGGGACCACGTGTGATGGGGCCACGTGTAATGGGGCCACGCGTGACCAGCTCCTCAGACCCGACATAGTCATGTGCAACTGTACACCTTACTGGTGTAATAGGCGCTTCCTTCCTAAACAAACACCACACGAACGGAAAACTATGCGGAACACAACGCACGGAAATGCGGACAGAACGCGCCAAAAGACATGATGCCACGTGACAAGGAAGTGGGGCATGCGGTCATCATATGCCCACACCACCGTGGGCTCCGCCGCCACGCAGAGCGCACCAACCAATAAAAAGGGGGGAGTGGTCACACGACACCTACAAGCTGAGCCAAACGCCAAAGACCCCGGGGAAGACGGCCCTGACTAGGCAAATCCCCTTCGCGGATAAAGAATGCAACGACGTTTCGCACGCTGCGCTGTTAGGCCATCCTCTGAGCCCGAAAGCGAGGGAGAGGTCCCGCCGCAAAATTTCGTCCCGGCAGCATAAGCATCCAGCTAGCCTAGTCCTGCCCTAGCCCCAGCCGGGCCCCAGCCTAGTCCTTCTGAGACGCTTACCTGCAGCGCATTGAGCACGTTGAGGCTCTGACTGAAAACCACCAACTTTTCCTTGTTGTCCTGACACACGCTGCAGGGAGAGGGGGGAGAGGAGAGAAATAAATCGCGTGGAGCACTGCGAGTGCGAGGGGCTCGGGCTCCATGAGGCCTATCCCAACCTGCTCGCGGGGATGAGACGACACAACAGAAACCAACAACTCAGTAACCGCCCTTTTTGCAACCACCTCTGTCGTCACCCTCAGCTGATCCCGCCCCGGCCTTCTGCCATTGCGGAGCCACTGGGGTAACCACCCACCGCAGCAGCTTCTCCACGAACACTTGCTTGGGCAGATGACCCCACAGCGGGTCCACGCCGTCCCTGTCGGCACCGCCTCCTTTGCCTCCTTGGCCTCCTGCCGCCAGCGCCTCCCGCTGTTCCTTCATCCGCTTGTAAAGCCGCTCACAAAGCTCCAAGGGCAGCTGTACGAGCTCCTTGCCTTTCTGCGCCTTTCCGGGGGCCGATTTCGAGCCGCCAGGCCCTGCAGCCATGTCGGTGACTAGTTCCGCCGCCGGCGCAGTGCTGGCGCCGCCGTCAGCATCGGCGCCGCCGTCAGTGTCGGCGCCAGTAGTCCCCGCTGCCGCAGCCGCAGCATCACCCTCCCCTTCCTCCTCAGAGGCAAGGGTCAACCTGCGACTGCCGCCGGCATCGCCGCCAGGAAGCCCCGTTGAGTGTTCACGGCGCAGCGTACGGCTGCCGGCCCTCATGGGCGTCACTTGGAACTGAATCTCCCCGGCGTCGGCATCTGCACGGCCGCAGCCAAATGGGCCATGGGCTTGTATGTCCCTGTAATCTTCCTCTATTCCAACCGCCTTTCCTGTTGCATACTGTAGAAACCACATCAACCAAGCTGCCGCCTGTTCCCTACTACGGGCACTGGTACGACAGTTAGAGCCGCACATCCAGCTGCAGCAAGCCCGCTCTGGCCCCCGGCCCCGCCGCTGCAGCCGCGCAGCTGTCCAGGCGCACCCTCACCTTCCGCCCCTATGATGCTCATGCCTGCCACTGCCTTCTCGAGCAGATCCTCGAAGTCCCGCGGGTTGTTCATCACCTTCCGCAACACCTCGAAGTCGCGGAACAGCTTGTGGCGGTAAGCGGCGCTGGGCAGGGCCTCCAGCTCCTGAGGGAAAATGGAAACATGCATATAATTGAATAAACGTGAATTCAACTACTGCTATTGTAGCTGTTGGCACTGCTGTTGGCACCGCTTCGGTTCGGTTTGCTGCGGCTTGCTGCCTATAGATGCTCGGATGGCGTGGGGCAGCGCACGCCCTTATCTTATTGCGAACACCCTTCTCATGCGCCGCACATGCATGACTTCCCGTCCCGCCAGGGAGGCCAGGCACCGGCGCCAGCCCTCACACCTTGAGGTAAGCCTCGTAATACTCCCGCTGGCGGTCATTGAGGTCCATGAGCAGCACCACCTCACTCTTGGGAGGCAGCTCCCTCTGCAGTAACAATACCGCAAGAGTACCAGCACCAGCACCATCGTACACACAGGAACGGATTTCAGACCGGAGCCGAACCCGCAGCGGAAGCATCACACCAGCACCAGTACCAGCAGCAATTACGGCCAGCCGCAGACACAGCAGCAGATGCCGCAGAGGGAGGGAAAGAGGGAGAGAGGGGTAAGAGAGGAGGCGTCAACGCGCAGGAGCGAGGCAGGCAAGTGCAACATAGCCATAGAGCATAGCTGCAGCGGGAGCACAGGAGCGACACACACCGCCCCTCCAGACCGCCTAACCTTTACCTGACCACTTTGAGACGCCCCCAGACGCAACACAACCCTACCTAACCCCCCCCTTCCTTAACATGCATCCTAACGTGCTACTCCTCAATCCAATACTGGGCCCCCAAAAGCACCGTGCGACACCCCGGTGCCAGTCACCCCTTTTTTCCCACCTCCAGTATCTCCGGCCCTGCTCGGTCGATGAAGTCCGCGGTGATCTCGTTCAGTACCAACAGCCGCTGGTTACTCATCACACGCTCCTTACGACTCGCATTAGCCAGCTGGCCTGCATTGGGCAGGAAGCGGGAACGAGAGGACGTGGGACGCAGGCAGCAGTAGAGCAGCACACGGTTAAGCTGGGACAACGGTGGTTCTTGTGGCGGTCGTGGTGGTAAGTTGTCGACCCCCCAGGGCCTGCGGCTTGCTTATCCCCCCCAACAGTAACCCGCACGATGCGACCTACAGGCGGCAACAACGGGCCCTCCACTTGCCGGTGCGCACTTCCAGTCCCGAGGTGCAGAGAACTCCACGAGTACCCCAGGCCACTTGCATTGCACTCCTCCCAAAAGAAAATCGCACGTAAAAGGACACACCATACGGGTGCACCTTCATGATTGGGCACCTAAACCCAAGAGCCAAGAGGACGAGCCAAGAGCTCCTTGTCCAGTGTCCAGGACAATGACTAACAACGAGACACAAGCAACAACACCAGGAGCCACGCACGGGAGGCGCCCGGGCACAACATACCTTTCTTAATCACTTGGGCAAACTCCTGGCGGAACGCCTGCATGCGTCAGGCGGAGGAGGACGTTACCATGGAGCGATGCAGGGCAAATGAAAGGCGAGGACGACAGGCAGTGGGACTTTTCGTGGGTTAGTTCAAATAGGGACATTGCGTTGATAGGCTGGGGACTGGGGATGCTTTTGGAGGGGGAGAGAGCGGGGAGGGTAGGGTTGGGAGGAGGGGGATGGAAAGAGGGCAGGAGGGGGGGGGTATTCAGTGTCGGAACCTTTCAAGGGGTGATGAACAAGGACAATGCACGGGTTGGTTTACTAGGGACTTTGCAACGTTGGGTGAACAAGGGTTATGTTACGGAAGGGCGGGAAGGGGGAGGTGCGGAGGGGGAAGCGGTGGGGAGTAAGTGTATTGGATGCTAAACCGCTGTAAGACTCTTTGAGAGATCCACGCGCCCACCCATCCACCCTGTCCGCACCTCAGGTGTCCCCAACAGATCCCCTTGAACCCAGGTGAGCATGGTGTAGTACTCCTCCAGGTTGTTCTGGAGCGGGTAGCCCGTGAGTGCCAGTCGGCGCCGGGTGGCCAGCGAACACATGACCTGGTAGAGCTGCGAGGCGGGGTTGCGCAGCTCGTGAGCCTCGTCCACCACCACCAGACCGGCGCCGTGCACCACCATGTGCCGGAGCTGTGCGCAACCCAATGGGAGGGAGGAGGAGGCAGGAGGCCGCGGTGAGGGAGGGGGGGGGCGCGGACAGGGGGCGGGTGTTAAGACCAGCAAAGCGCCACGGACCCCCGGCGGGTCCTATTACTGCAGCTACCATTCCTTGGTATATGAGAGTGTCGGTCAAATTCCAACAGCGGGGTCGTAGCACGACCCGTCCAGTATTTATTAGTCCCTCACGAAATGGATAAGTGACATATTAGCGAAAAGACGACAAGTTAGCTGGCGCAAATACATACTTAATGCGTTCATTTGTGCAGTTTGGTGGAAAGGCAAAAGGATAGGGGGAAGATAGCCTGCTAGGCAGGAAGGCAGGCAGGCAGGTATGCTCGCCAGACGCACTGCACCGTAGAGTGTTCGGCATACCGCTTTCACTAAGTTGGCCGTCCGAACAACCTGACCTTAGTGCATAGAGCGTAGCATTAGG